AAACTGAAGCAAAACTCAATATTCTTAATCTTTCTATGAAAAATGGACAATATTAATAGAGTGAATATCTCGAAATCGAAGTCTTTTTCTTTCATTCAAACTATCAATATTTTCTACGGGATATTATATGTGCGTTGATAAATTCTAACTTTGAAAAGAAGATTCAAATGATCTGATACTTCAAAAGTTTTACTCATCTTGTTGAGGTCTATCTATGGGCCAAAAACACCAGTTCTATCAACGTTGATTAATTGAAGAGTTTTCTTTATAAGATAAACGCTTCTATGACAAGATAACTGAATGTTCAAACAAACGTTTGAAAATCATTTTATTCTTTATACTAGGTATCTCTAGAAACAATTTTCTAGCATATAAAGACAGTAAAATTTTTAATCAAGATCTTATAACCTCATTTTCGTACTATTTCTGTTCTACGTAGTGAAATCTTAATAATTCCGTACTCATATCGAGTTTTTTTCAACCTTCAAAAAACTTTACTTTTGCTGATAATACGGGTTTATAGATGTTTGCCTGATGATGTTCTGTTCATCCTATAAAATTATTCACTGACGAGAAATACCACACGAACTAAGACTCTTCGTTTGAGTTCATATTTAACTGATAAGAACATGTCGATGATACTAGCAAAGGTATAAAAGAAAATTCATCGAGGTTGCTAATTGTAGGATACAATACATTGAAAGTGACGCCAAGAATGGCGCTACCTTCGATGAGTTGTACCTTAACCTTGTTGAAAGTCGAATTATGATCATTTTACTAAATTTACGGCTTAGGTTTAGATATATGCTAAAAAAACTAAGAAACAAACACAAGATTACGATGTGAACTTTGGCCTATAAATAAGTCCTATGGTATGTAGAATATCCTAAAAGTTTTGTTGATAAAGAGATTTTTTTTTTTCAAGATGGATTTTCCAGCAAACTCAATTTCTAATCTACGATACAAAAGTAATTGCCAAAATGTCAAACTCTATTAGACCGCATTGCTAACTTCTAAACTAACGGAAGTTTTTTTTTGTTGGAAAGAGTAATGTCTGAACTACAAATTTCGTAGCTCAAAAAATTTTTGTAGAATGGATCTTAGAAGAGATAAAAGCCCAAAACCAAACATCTCCAAAAACGTTCTTGCAACTTTTTTGCAATCTGAAAAATATGTATTTCTCAATTATTTTGAGCTACCTAGGCCAAATTCGAACAAAAAAGTAAACCAACATGTAGCCCATTAAAAACTCTATCGATAGTGGCTGGCGTAGAAAAATTTCCTATATGCTCTTGGCTCTCCAATGAATGAATTTGAAAATTCACTCTCTTCAGAAAGAAGAATATTTTCGTATAAAAATCAAGATGAAATTTGACTTGCAATACACTATTGGAAAAAGCACTCTTTATACTACAAAGATCATCAGTGGATGTGTTTCTTTCATTCTAGTCTAGTATAACAAAATTCACTGAAATTAGAAAGTGATTTTGCTGCATACTTAAATTGCAAGAACTTTTTTGGAGGTATTTGGTTTTGGACTTTTATCTCTTCTTAGATCCGTTCTACAAAAATTTGTGTGTTATAAAATTTGTAGTTCAGATATTATTACTCTTTCCAACAAAAAAAAATTTCGTTAGTTTAGAAGTTGGCAGTACAGTCTAACAGAGTTTGAGATTTCGGCAATTACTTTTGCATCGTAGGTTATTCTAGCATTGGCAGACGACTAGTTTTTGAGAATTCAATTTCTTGACAAAAGAACATTCTTTTCGGCTGAAATTTTTAGGATATTCTAAAAATCACTCGATCTATCTATAATCGAAATTTAAGATAAAAAATGCAACACAACGTTCATAACTCGGCTCCAAAGGCTTATGAAAACGAGTTACTTTAGACTTTTTCTATCTTGACCGAGGCCTCCTTGGGAGCATGTTATGAGCTCCAATGGGGAGCAACACTTAGTGTAGCTTATGCGGCAGTAACACTCGATTACACATTGAAACTGGTCAAGTTTTCTTCGACCGGTACAGTTCCAAGTAAGCTCAACTGTCTCCTAAATTCTCATCTTCGAACTGGCTATATAAGAAAACAGTTGAATTATCATGTTTTTTTTGTTGTTGTTTAAGTTTATAATGCGTATTAGTATTCATTCACGAAAATTACTGAGAAGTTTTTCAATATTTTTTTTGTTTCGTTTTTAATTATAAAAATATGTACAACATTTGTTGTTAGGTTGACATACATTAAATCAGCTGTTACACGAAATGAAAGTGAAAAAACGATCAATAGCATTATTGATCAAATATCAACATCTGAAAAAATGGATTTAATAGAAAATTTTTATGAAATAACATTAGATGCATTAAAAGAAGCAAAAAATAATCGTCTATGGTTTAAAATATACCTTAAATTAGGTAAATTATATGATGAACAACAAGATTACAATAAGTTACAAAAAATTATTAAAGAATTATATAAAGCTTGTGAAACATCAGAAGGTTCATTTCTTTTTTGTTAATTGTAATATTTAAAAAAATAAATTCAAATGAAATATTTAGGCACTGATAATCAACATCGTGGTACTCAATTATTAGAAATTTATGCATTAGAAATTCAAATGCATACATCACAAAAAAATAATAAAAAACTTAAACAATTATATGAAGCTTCGTTACATATTAAATCAGCTATTCCTCATCCACTTATTATGGGTTTGTTTGTCTTTTTTTTTATTCGTTCGAATTTAATTCAAAAATAATATTTTAGGTGTTATACGAGAATGTGGAGGTAAAATGCATTTACGTGAACAAGAATATGAAAAAAGTCATACAGACTTTTTTGAAGCTTTTAAAAATTATGATGAATCAGGTTCACCACGTCGTATAACATGTTTAAAATATCTTGTTCTTGCTAATATGCTTATGCGTTCAACAATAAATCCTTTTGATTCGCAAGAAGCTAAACCATATAAAGATAATCCTGATATTCAAGCTATGACAAGTCTTATTGGTGCTTATCAAAATAATAATATAAAAGAATTCGAAACAATTTTGCATAAAAATCGACAAACAATTATGAGTGATTCATTTATTCGTGAACATATTGAAATACTTTTACGTTCAATACGTACGAAAGTTTTAATTAAATTAATAAAACCATATACTAAAATACGTATTCAATTTATTGCACAAGAATTAAATATTGACATTGAAGAAGTTATAAATTTATTAATATCTTGTATACTTGATCAAACCATTCTAGGCAAAATTGATCAAGTTAATCATGTACTTGAACTTGATCAAGAACAAAATATTCAAGGTTTACATCGTTATCAGGCTATTTCAAAAGTTGCTTCACAATTACAAAGTATTCAACAAACAATTCTTCAACAATTTAAGTGAATTTTTTTTATAGAATATAAGCTTTATGTTTTTTTTTTCTGTTTAAATCAAGATAAATATTGTCGTACGATTTTATTTGCGAAATTTAATACATTTTCAAACTTGATTTTGTTCTTTTTTATTTTTAAATTCATACAGAAAACAAAAAAAAACAAGAAGAGGTTTTGTGTTTTTCTTGCTTACTTTTTCTTCGAAAAGAAAATCTAGTATCTTCTTGTAATTCTATTGATTAATCTAACTATTTCAAAAACCGTTAACATGACTAATAATAATAAAAAAAACATATATTTATATGAATATGCAACTTTTTATTTAACTGCGTCATTTATCAATAGTTAAAAACTAAGATAGATACTGTTTTCTTTATGATAAACTCGAGTACCTTTCATTATCAGGTGTTTGCATAAAGATTTGCAGCAGCTGTTTTCTTATTTTCTTTCCCAATGACTTTTTTTCAAAACATTGTCTTCGTACAAAAGCAAAAAAAAAACGCAATGTCATCAAAACAAAATTTTCCATCGCTTACTATAGATAATGCAATTAAAAAAACTATTTCTTAAATGAATTTAGTGTTTCTGGCTTTTATTTAAAATTTTATATAAGACATAGTGAAAACATTGTTGTTGTTGTTATGAAGTTTTTTTTTCTCACCTTCTCATTTCGTTTTTTTTAATAAAGAGACATGGCGGTACATATTGTGTTGACACGGTTAGATGCGTGCTCGGACCACGTACTTAAATTGAAAAAGAAAAGAAGAGAAGAAAAAAAAAATAACGCAAAAAAGAAACTTAGTAGTACTTTTCTTTTCTTTATATTTTTTTTTTATCGTCATTCTTTATATTATATTGTTTGAACTGGTTAGAAAACAGACCTGTATAATGACTGATAATTCAACAAGCCAAAATGTGATATCATCAAACAACGATAGACCAAATATTTCTCACATGCATGATTGGCAACATGCTATCAAGGTTAGCATAATTTTATTTTTCAAGGCTATTGAAGTGTAGAAATCAAAATGTTGAATTGGTTATGTTATTCATCTCTTTTATTAGCGAAGGCGTTTAACAAAAATGTCGATTACTTATTCTAACCTATCATTAATTTACTTTTATTCGTACGTGCCCATCATTATAAATAGTGTCAGATAGACGCAAGAATGTAGGTTTAAAAAAAATAATAAACTTACTTACATACTTTTTTGTTTGATAAAAAATAATCTGTCACATATTGTTCATTTCTATCATTAGTAAGTATATCTTCAAAATTTGAATTAAGTTCATTTTATCGATTTGAACCAATCATTAAACGAAACATAAGTGTATATTTTCGATGCAGTAAGACCTTGAGAATGCAATTCTAAATACATTATTTGTTTCTTTCTCGTTCTCTTGCTTATACGTAACCACGTTTTATTGTAGAATACACGGACTGCACACATTTTAGTGGGTCATAGGTCATGCAATACAATAAAGTAAACACCGTTGTTTTCTTTTCATTGCTAAAGCATATAAATAATTTAAATATAATAGGAAAATGCAATGTATGATATTAAATAATAAAAAAAAAACCGTTTTTTTTCTTTTATGTATATATATTTAGATGCATCTACGTGGTAGACTGAAAGATGAATCGAAACAAAATGAACCAACAAGTCGTGGATTTTATCAACATCAAGCATTTGCTGAAACAGCTGTAAATGCTCTTGAACAACGTACACTACTTGACGTTGATTCTGAACCGTAAACATAACGAAATTTTTGAAATAATCTTGTATGTATATGTGTTCATTTAGATGGAATACTCGCCATACAAGTATAATTTGTACATTAGGTATGTATAAATAAATTATAAATTCTAAGAAAGTTAACGAAAATTTTAGGACCTGCATCACAAAGTATTGATATGTTAAAAAAAATGATTGAAGCTGGAATGAATATCGCACGACTTAATTTTTCACATGGTTCACATGAAGTAGAAAAAAGAAAAATTTTTATTTAAAATATTCATGTCTTTTGTTTAGTATCATCAAACAAGTATAGATAATGTTCGTGCTGCTGAAAAACTTACTGTACAAGAGGGAAAAATGAGAACTGTTGCTATTGCGTTAGATACAAAAGGTCCAGAAATTCGAACAGGTGTACTTGCTGATGTAAGATAATGTTGATTTCAAAGATATTTAAATGAAAAACATATAAATCATTTAGGGAGTTAATAGTGAACTTAATTTACAAATTGGAATGGTTGTTCGTTTGACAACAGATGAGTCATTTGAAAATAAATCTACGACTGATAATTTATATGTTGATTATAAAAATATACCTCATGTTATAAAACCTGGTAATCGCATTTATATTGATGATGGTCTTATTTCATTAGTGGCTAAAAACGTAGGTTAGTAAATTTATTGAATTTTCTTTCTTGGAGCGATATGATGCTGGGTGTTTTTTTTCATTTAAGGTGAAAATTATATTGAATGTGAAGTTGAAAATGGTGGATTATTAGGTAGTCGTAAAGGTGTGAATTTACCTGGCGTTCCAGTTGATTTACCAGCTGTGTCAGAAAAAGATAAAAAAGATCTTGAATTTGCTGTGATAAATGATGTAAGAAAATAAAAATTTTATTTGATATATTGAATTTTATTTATTGTAGTTGGACATTATTTTTGCGAGTTTTATTCGTGATGTTGAATGTGTTCGTGAAATACGTAAAGTACTCGGTGAAAAAGGAAAAGATATAAAAATTATTGCTAAAATTGAAAATCATCAAGGAATTCAAAAGTTGTTAAAAAAAATACCAAATGTTTCATTCAATGGATAAGCTTTTTTTTTTATTAATTAGTTTTGATTCTATACTTGAAGAAGTTGATGGTATTATGGTTGCACGTGGTGATATGGGTATTGAAATTCCACCACAAAAAGTATTTGTTGCACAAAAAATGATGATTGCTAAATGCAATCTAGCTGGTAAACCAGTTATTTGTGCTACACAAGTATATCTAGTTCTTTTGTTTTTAAGTTAAAAAAAAAATTGTTTTCAATATGAATTTTTAATTAGATGTTAGAAAGTATGATTAAAAATCCTCGTCCAACTCGTGCTGAAGTTAGTGATGTTGCTAATGCTGTTTTGGATAATGCTGATTGTATTATGTTATCTGGTGAATCAGCCAAAGGAAAATATCCTGTACAATGTATTCAACTAATGCATGAAGTTAGTAGAATAATATTATTTTTATTAAAGTATAAAGTGAAACAAAATTGTATTGACTAGATATTTGAGATAGATGAGAAGGAGAGAGTAAGACTAAATAATGAACAGACACTCATTTACTTACTCTTCGAGATGTGACACAGATCTACATATATATATATATACTTTCTTCATTATTTGACAATGAACACTAGAAAATGTCTAGATTTTACTTTTAAGCATTTCGTTCTCAAGAAATAAGAACATATTGTGAATTACGGTTTCTAGCGTTGCTTTATATAGAAAAAAGAAGTTCGATGTTCTCCAAAATCGAAATTTATTATGCATTCTACTCTTGAGAACTCGGAACAATCTTGCCAAATAATCAGGAAAGAGCCCCAAAAGATGTATTTTTTTCCTAACAACGTTGATATTAATTTAGCTACCTATGGATTTACGATTCTACTTCAGATAAAACAACAATTGAGTGCATAATAGAACTAACAATATGCTCGCTTCTTTTAGCGTTTCAAGTAGGGATGGTTAGCATTCCCATTTCTGAATGTTTCATTCGCAAGGAATGAAAACGCATCCCAAATTGTGTTTGTTAATATTTCGTGAAAACAAGCTGAAAGAAAGAAATGTTGAAGTACAGAAGTAGAAATTTGTCCCTAAACAAACTTGACAGATAATATGTCAACGCCTTTTCACTATCGCAGACCTTATCGCAAAGTCAAAGCTCGATAAGATCAACTAGTGTGGAAAGTAAAAAATATCGAGAGTAGAAAATGTTGAAAAAACAATTCATACAAATAAAAAGTGAAATTCTACAAGAAATACTGTTTTGAAATAAGTTGAATAAGGATGTTATTATTGAACGATCAATATCAGTTTATGAGATGTAAGTATATAGTTGAAGAGAAGATACACCCACAACCACACCGATATCCATACACTTGATTCATTTATATTTATTTTGTTTATGAAGTATTGAAAATAAATATAATTTATATTTAGATTGCTCGAGAAGCTGAAGCATGTTTATTTCATCGTGAACTTTTTGAAAATCTTAGTTATTTTACTAAACCACCATTGGTAATACAAAAGCAAAAGAAAAACAAAAAAACAAGACTTTTTATTGTATCTCATATATTTTAATTAAGGATCAAATACAATCAACAGCTATTGCAGCAGTTGAAGCAGCTTTTCGAAGTTTTGCTTCAATTATAGTCGTTCTTACTCATTCAGGAAGGTAATATAGTCATAAAATTTATTCATATGAAAAACCACGAAGTTTCTTAATAGATCTGCACATCTGATTTCAAAATACCGTCCACGAGCAGTAATTATGGGAGTCACTCGATCAAAAAAAACAGCTAGACAAATGCACTTATTTCGTGGCTGTTGTCCTGTTTATATTGAAAGTAAATATTATCATAAAGAAGTGAACTAAAGTCTCCATCTCAGCCAATGAATGCGCTGGAAGTCTCAAAATTCCTGCACTCCTACTTCTTCAAGAATCTCAGTCATTAGAAAAGAGATGTTATTATTATCTAATTACAAAGGAAGCTATGATGTGTGACATCTATTTTTGTTGTTAGCCGATTCACTCCTCAACATGAAGTACTAGGTCCAAGCTATCTACATTACTGATTTCGCTAAAGTTCATAAATACTTTCTAAAACTACACTCATTTCACTTTGTGAAGAGTAACCATCTACTACTCTTTAGAGATCAATAAAACTAGTATCGAACTTTGTGAGAAGCGTTCTCTACAGTTAGACATGATTACCTTTAAGTTTCAGCAGTGAATCTTGAACTCAAAAGAAAAAAAACAGATGATAATCTTGTTAGTTCCAAGGATCTAGAAACATTAATATTCGAGCAAATGAATTTTTCTTTTGGATGAAGAAAGGCCGTAGATAGAACTCCACATCCATCGAAAAATATCAAACATTAGTCATAATTTTAATAAGAAATAATACAAAATTTTGCCGACAATACTCTTTAAGTTATAATTCTTAGAGAAAAACTTAGGCACCGTCGATCATAATTCTCTTTGTAATTAAACAGTAACGACGCAGCAATGCCAATGTGGTTCAATAGAAAAGGCAGAAAAATAAAATATCAAAAATGAAAATTTTTCTTTTTGATAATATTAACGACAAGCAGAATTTTATTCGATCATATGAAAAAGAATGTGAATGTGAATATGGGTTTAGATTTTTCTTTACTTAAACACCTTCACTCACACTATTTTTCTTTTCTATTAATTTGTATTCGTAATCTACGTTCTTGGTAAAGTGCGTCTGCACAAGCTTTTCAGACGTTTAGCACATATGATGTTCAAAATTGACTAGATTGGAGACTTTTGTTCCTTACTGTAACTTTATTAAAATAATATCAATTTATTTCTTTGTTTTTCTTTTAGGTCCCCAATGTAAGTAATATATTTGTCGTTTTTCTTTTTTTTTGTTTGTTTTCCTTGGTCGATATATTGAGTAATCATAATTTTTTGCTAACTTTTTTTTATTTGAGCAGCAGAATGTGACAACTATCAAATATATCGTAAGTTATGTGAAATGAATATGCACTAAATTGATATTTCTGTAAAAAATTCTTAACTTCGTGGTGTTCTTAATCCTCAAGTCAATAAATTCACCTTAATATATAAAAACACAAAGAAATATTATTTTATTCGTTATAAATTTTGAAGAATAAATTTAGGTCCGGAACTGGAAGCAGGCGTAGAATTTAAACAACATAATATTTCAACAACTCAAGCATTGGCTATGAGTGATTGGTTAATTGATGTTGATACACGTGTTAACGAAGCAATTAAATTTGCTAAACAACGTGGTTTTTGTTCATCAGGTGATGCTGTTATTGTTGTTACAGGATGGGTAAATCTCTTTTTTTTATTTATATCCAGATGATTTTTATTTGATTCGTTGTTTTTTTTTTCTAGCGTCCTGGTTTCGGTACGACAAATACACTACGTGTTATTTATGCCGATTAAATACCTAATTCCACGTAAACATGTTTTTCATTAATGTTTAATTTTCTTTCCAAAACAGATTTTACCAGTGATGTTTCATTTCTTTTTTTTTTTATATCTTTTTTTTTTCTTAACGAATATATATATATATATCAGCATCTGGAGATAATCATTAAAAAAATAAAATAAAAGTGAATAAAAAAAATTGAAAAGAGAAAAGAGTCAACAACGCGTTATAGTCAAATATTACTTGGTTTTTGTATAATTTCTAATTAATATCAATGTCGATATATTAATTTACAATTAATTGAACTATGTCTTCAATTAATTGTTCTATTTTCAATCGATTGCTCATCGATATATATCAACAACAAATAAATTATTTTCAAGATATAAAATCTTGTAATGAAACTATTGTTAAATATCATTATAATTTATCTCAGTATGAATATCAATGTCCTCAACACCAATATAACGTTCGAGTGATTGAACGATATCTGTTAATTATTTATATAGAACAATTTTTAACTCAGAATGAAATTCAACATTTAATTGAATTAGTATAAGAAGATTTCTTTCTTAAACTCTTATTACGATGGAGTCACTCGCACTAATACGCACTGTTTGAACTTACAGTAGACATTCAGAGATGAATTGATGAAACTAGGAAAAGTCTAAAGCGATTCGTCTACATGGATCTTTGAAGAGAAGTTGGGATCAGTGTTTTATCTAGTGTGAGAGTCTAGAAGACGGGATCTCTCTGAAGATCGAGTAGAAGTTTTAAATTGCTCTTTTTCAATAGAAAATCTTGTTAAAATACTGGTTATAATTTTTTTACTAAATTTTTGACTCAGCTTTGGAACCATATCAAAAATTCAAACAATAGAATTTTGACCTTAACTTCTGCTCATTGATAGATCGGATGACTTCTAGAAAACTCTTAGACTTATCTATGGGTAAAATTTCACACAGAAGTTCTGTGTTTTGGCTTTTCGATGTATAAAAACTGTTAAAAATTCTTGAAGCGTGACCAGAATCCGTCAAGCTGGTCCCGGATCCCGGTTCGAAACTTTTAGATCTGACAGGCTCTAGGAGCGTCGAACTTAATTTATATGCAAATAGAAGAAAAGCTGTAATCAAGTGCTTTTAAATGAGCCTGCAATATTCTTTGAATGCCATGTTATTAGATATTGTCACTTGTGATAATAAAAATATAAACATAAACATAAGAATCGTCGATCAATGAGATATTTTATTTAAAAAACAAACAACGGGAGTCTCTTAAAAATTTTATTAAAAACTTCAAGTTATTGTTTATTTTATTCTTTGTTTAATCTAGTTTTCAATTGTTTGAAAAATTGAAAATTGTTCTTGTCAATAAAATTCGCGTCAGTTTCTTTAGGTAAAACTCGCTTATTCAATAATTAATCAATAATTCAATACACAATCTTTGTTCTTTGAATTTCGTTCTACATACAACGTTTTCATATATTTAATCTATTCAAATCCTATTACTAAATATATAGCGTGATTGAATATGTAAACCAGTCAGCACTTTATTTAAAAAATCTTTTGAAAACCTGCATTGATCGATTGTGAAGCACTTAGCTTCACATTACCATGTCTATATTTTTACTATGACATGAGAAAATATTGTCCAATAATATTTCATTTGAAAGAATACACATGAGTACTCAAGGTCTACATAAAAATATACGGTTAGAAGTTATTTGCTGTCTGCATATAAACTAATTTTTTCGCGTGTCAAAATTGATGAAACTCTCCGTAGTTAAACCTGACTCAAAAATTCCGTGAACTAATGATAACCCGGCTTCAAAGATTCATGAAGACGAAATCTTTTAAATTTTTATTGATTTCACCAAAATTTCCTAATATAGCCAATATAACTTCAAACAACGAGTGTTACTTTAGATGATTCTCTTCTTAGAGCAAAAAAAGCAGATCATCTTAATGCAATTTGAATTCAATTCTAAAATGTTAGAACTACTCACGAAGCTAGAATGGTTTAGTTTTCCGGGCTTTCTTTCTTGAGATATATATATATATATATCTACTTTCTCTATAGAAATCCAATGTTTGTATGTTCAGCAATTGTACGAACTAATGGATCATCATTTATTGACGATCATTCTCGAACATCGACTACAGCATATCTTAGACGTAGTCAAACATCAGTTATAAAATGTATTGAACAACGATTTGCACAATTTCAAGGTAATATTAATCCATTACGTCTTGAACTTTTACAAGTTGTTAAATATGAGCATAATCAAGAGGTTTGAAACTCGATATAAAATAATAAATAGAATTTGTTTTTTTTTCCTTATTAGTTGAAACCTCATATTGATTGGTTTTATCATGCAAATCAAATGATAAATGGTAGACAACAAATTCCAACATTTTTTTACATATCTTCATGCAAATTGTTCTATGGGTGAAACAGAATTTATTAATATTAAGTTTAATTTCTCATTACATTCACGTTTTTGTAATATTTTACTATGTGATGATATAGCACCATATCGAGGTATTCGATTTCGACCAATACCAGGAAATAGTATCTTTTGGTCTAATCAATGACAATGGACATGGAGAGAATGCATGGTTTCATGCAGTTCTTCCACCGGAACAAAATGGTCAAAAAATAGGATTGAATACATGGACACGTAAAACAATTTTCATTTGAACCATGAGTGCAACAAAATATTGTCTATATCGGAATTAAAAAAGTGTAAGCTTAAGTTCAATAACTCGACAAAACAAACCGCTCGAGACCTACAATTCACAACGACCAAACGAGCAGAACTTCGAAGCTTATTTGAAACATCATTATTGCCAAAAAATCCATGAAAACGCTATTTACATCACTTTTTTTTATCGAAATCTCCTTAAAATGAAACATCTTTTCATAAATTTTTCGAATATTTTGCGACAATGATGTTTCACATAAGTTTTGAAGTTCTTCTCATTCGATTGCTGAAAGCCACATGTTACTCATTGTTATCATCATCCAGTTATTGAGATTACACCCACTTCTCTTTAATTCTTTCGTAAACATTAGATATGGTTTTCTTCAAAACATTTTCTGTTTGCTTTTCCTATTAGAGAAGTTCTGAATCCATATTTTTCATCTATTTATAAATAACTGAAAGAATAGTATTTTTCATCATCAACATAGTCTCGCCTGTCAATCATTCCATAAAACTTCAAACTTTTCATAATAATAATAATAATAATCATAATTGACTAAGACTTGTCGTGAGCCTGTTTTGAACAAAGATCACATAAAACTCGACATTTCACAATAAATAAAATAACAATAAATTGTTGACGAAAGCTTCTGGAAATGCTGAATCCGGAGTCAATCACTTTCTTTGTACAAAATTTTTAATACAAACTCTATATCTTCTTCAAATCATGAAGTTATTTGATATTGTTTATCCTTTCATCATACGACTTTACATTTTAAAATATCACCTACTTTTATTTGTATGTTACTCTTAATAATATCAAAATCCAACATTCATCTTTTCTTCTCCTTGTTTCGATGTGTCAACGACCAGTTGTCTATGTATTTAGATACAACAATTGTTACATTCATCATTTACTTGCCTTAAGGGTACATTCTCCTCTTTCCAAAGTTTGTGGAGATTGGTTCATCAAATAAATTTTGAAATTTCCTCTGCAGGTAGATCTTGATGAGTAGAACAAAATTTTTCCTAGACTCGCAATTCTTGGACGCTGTCTTCTATAAACTACTGGGATCATAATGACGAAAACATGACGTCCCCGTTTCTCCGACATGCTGATTTCGATTGAGCTCAAAATTTTTTTCTAAGTAATAGATATTGTTTTGAACGAATGTGATTTCATTTTTTGCCTTTTGAACAAAAAAAGCCACAACATCGAAAATGCTTTGATAATCGCATGTTTTTTTTTAACAGAATCTTTGTTCTAAGAGCAATCAAAAATTAACATAACAATATTTTATCAAGCAAACAAAAAACATCCATCTCAAACAGTGTATTGTATACGTAAAAAACATTTCACTTCGATCTGAGATACTAGACTGGAAAAATTTTCCTGATGAAAAGGTTACTTTGAGAAAAATGCGAAACCATATAGTTTTCTCTAATTGATCGTTTTCTTGAGTTTTCCATCTAAAATTTTCCACACGAATACGTCGAACGATTTGTAGAGTATCTTGAAAGTGTCACTCGAAGAGCAGATTTCTTTGTAAAGATATTGAATTTCAAAAAACAGGTCGTTTGCAAAGAAAATCAAGATTACTGGAACATTCTATTCGACTGAAATCTTAAGGATATGTAACTAGTGATTCTACCTACTGATAGATCCAATTTTGCATGGAAATATCGTTATTCCATTTTTCGGTAAAAAGCAAAAGCTGAATTGAAAATTCACTAAAAAAGGTCATCATTCGGCTTCAACTGCCAATCGGCACGAATATTTCAGTTTTTTTAGTCTTACTCCAGCGTCCCTGTACATCGAATATGAGCTCGATCAGTGAATATCAATTCGAACCGTCTCGTCATAACTATAACCGCACACTATATAATGACCACGATTTAAAAAAAACAACAATTTTGAATCACGAAAAGATGGGAAGTACCCTTAATGGATAGACAATGACGAATAACCTAAAGAAAATGAATAACCACTTCTCAGTAATAAATAGAATTTCAATATTGAATTTTTTTTAGCAGCTGCTCATCATACCGATTATGGATAAAAGCTAAATGAATTGAACATAATTATCTAAATGATGATGAATAATATTTCAATGATTAAAATGAAAAGCAAATGTCAATAGCCAATACGAATTTCTTTTTTTCTTTTCTTTTCTTTTTTCTATTTCTTCTTGAATGAGATTTTTTTTTCTTCTTCTATTTTCTCTTTCTTGTGTACTCATTTTCAACCAATGAAATGTTAACGTCTATTACTTTCTTGCTGGGTTGCAAGATGACGACCATTCATCAATATTATTTGAAGTTGAATTCTATTTCTCACTTTTTTTAACCTGTTGTACTCATTTCTTCTTTGTCGGCAACTGTGAAACATCAAATAAGGCACGTTTAGTCAATTGTCTTCCTTAGCAGCCCATAACAATAATTATAATTTTTTTTTTCTCTTCGATATATATATATATAAATACATATATATGGCACCACTTGTTTGATATATACAACATGTCATCCAATTTTCCAACTTGGTTTACTGAAACAATGTTATTACATAGGAATTCATTTATATCTGAACAATCAAATGAAGATTTAGCTGCTGAACGTTTAAAATATTTACTTGGTATTCAATATTATGCTGGTTTATTAACACCACCATCAACAAAATCTGATAATATGAAAGAAGAATCTGAAGGTGAAGAAGATGAAGAAGAAAATGAAACAATTATTGAATCAACAAATATTTTTTATAAATGTCATGAATGTGAAAAAGATTTTTCAACATCACATGGTCTTGAAGTACATGTACGACGTACACATTCGTCAGAATTACGACCATATTCATGTGATCTTTGTACGAAAACATTTAGTCATGCTTTATCTCTAGTACAACACCGTACAACACATACACAAGAACGATGTTTTCAATGTAAAACATGTGGAAAATCTTTTAAACGTTCATCAACATTATCAACACATTTATTAATACATTCGGATACTCGACCATATTCATGTCTACATTGTGGAAAACGTTTTCATCAAAAATCTGATATGAAAAAACATACATATATTCATACAGGTAATTCTTGTTTCCCTTTTTTTTAATGCTTCTTGTTTCTTGTATTGCTTTTGCAATCTCAGTAAAAGCTTTAAATGATCAATGTCAATCAGTGAAATTAGCTCTGATGAGATATCGATATCGATTTTTAAGAAAAAATGATGATGATGAACGCATGATACAATTAACCATATGTCATAGTCTCCTTAGAGAGAACGAGTGATGATGACCATTTTAAACATTGATAAGAAGCTTGTTAAATATGCACACTTTAAGATGGAAAAAGCGTACTCGTCTAATAAAATGGTTTAGTGACGTTGGCGCATGATTTTCACACATATTCACTTTCCCTTGTTGTTCTCTTGAGATTAAGCGGATCCTATGTTATCTTCTTTTTTCTTTGTTTAGAAAGTTAAAATTTTTTAAAAATGAAATTGGAGAAAAAAAATTAGTGTTCTTTTTTCTGATTTAGGAGAAAAACCACATAAATGTATTGTTTGTGGGAAAGCTTTTTCACAATCATCAAATTTAATTACACATAGTCGAAAACATACAGGTTTTAAACCATTTCAATGTCATAAATGTTTGCGTGCATTTCAACGTAAAGTTGATTTACGTCGTCATATTGATACACAACATGGTATTGAACATAATCATGATGATTTACTATTAAAAACAAACACAATCGAACAACAAACAAACAATAATACAAATCAAAATCATAATTCAAAAAAACCGAATACAGGAAAATATGGACCGATTGGATCATTAATTCAAGAACTTGCTGCTCGCCATTAAAATTTAAACAGAAAAAAAACAACCATTGACTAACTGACTTTGCATGATTATTAGTATTATTTTGTTTTTTTTTTTTTTTTTTTTCATTTATGTATAAATGATGATCCATATGTTGATGTGTCATATTGAAAGGCGGTGAAGATTGAAAGTGTGAGCAACCATCTGGATAGATTCTATATGCATTGAAGAAAAAAAATCTTGATTGAAGTGTGCTAGGTACTGCTTTATTATGCATCACAAATCTAGCACGAGATGGAGAAGATTATTAATCTCACATTGATTCTGTGACAAGAACTCATTTATAAACTTATTTTATACACAATAACATGTCTATTAATCACAGAACAATTGTCAACTAGTTTTCTTTCTATGTTTTCTGGTGTTGACGTCTTTTTTTTTTTGTTTTATATATATTTTAATGGTTTTGGTGTGTTCATTTCATATGCGCGTCATCTTCCTTAATGATAATCTACAATATGAAGAAAAAAAAAAAGAAAAATAAAATAGATGCTTGAGGCATAATTCATATGAATTGTTCGTATCGCGGTTCAAAATCAAAAGATTACTCCTCAGCAGGTGTTGAACATGAGCATACGTGATCATCACTATCGTTACAATATGGTGAACTGTTGCTGATCGAATCGTGAAAAAATTGACAAGTTGTCTTTTTCTTTTTTTTTTGCATCCTTCAGGCAATCTGTATAGACAAAAAGACGACAAAAAAAAATAAAATGAAATAAAATAAAATAAAATGAAACATATAAAGTGCCAGTTGGTCTTTCTTCCTTCTGGGTAAATAGAAACGAAACCTTGTTAAATTAACAAAATGATAATTAAGAATTATATTTCTCAAATTGATGTTTCATTTAACATAGTAATATATACACCCACTCAAGAGAAAAGTTGAACCTTGAGAAAGCAAATAAATATGATGACAAAATCTACACGTTGTGTTGAACTCATCTTTCATTATCCGTTCGTTCATAAAAAGCAATCATCAACGATTTAAGTCTCTTGTGTATGTCAAACAGCTAAGTTTTATTTTTGGCTTACAAGATAAAATCGTATGTTTCTTTCGTTCTTGTTAAGAAACATAAGAAAAATGAAGATGGAATATGTCACATTTGAGAGTAGTGATGGTACGACAGTTTGATGTCGAGAAGGACCAGTGATTAGGTTAATCAAACGCTTAATAAAACACGATGATTACATTTGCTCGTCGACTCTGATAATAAAATGCATAGAAATAAGTTTGTCTAATCAATTGATTAGTTTTCTAAAAATAGAATAAATATATTTTAGAGAGAAGAAAGAAAAAACAAGAGCAACGTTTAAAGTTAAATGAAAAAAGAAAAGTCTTTTTTTTTTCATTAGATAAATGGTAGAATGTTTTAAAACAATAATGAAAATAGTGCTTCGATTATTTGTTCTACTTGTTTTATAAATAAGTGTAAATTGTTTAGTGTTCGGAATTGTTTATTGATCGATAATCTTAATTTGAAAAGTTAATTAAACTAATATGAAATGTCAAATTAATGTTCTAAATATATAATGAATACAAAAGCAGAATGGATTTGAATATTTAGTTTTTCTGTAATAATCGTATTTGTTCTTAGACTTTCTTAGTTTTTAATAGTAACCGATAAGATAGGGGTGAGTCGATCTGGCTCAAGAAATTTTTTTTTAAAGCTTCAAGCCGTAATAAATCACACACGATTGAGTACAGTTTTGGGCGCTTATTCTGAATATGTCATTTCGTTTTTATAAATCTACTTGTAACTAGAGTAATATGATAAAACTTCAAATAATAGCCTGAAAGGTGATGAGTTTTCAAAAGCAGATCTGATACTCGATTAGAGTTAATCAGCATTCGACAGATACTGCTATACTCATCGTACAGTTTTTAAATTTTTATTTTGTATGAAAAAGTATATTAATTTAATTTTTTTTCATGAACAGCAACAAAAAACAGATTATCTTCAATTTCACAAAAAAAAGTCAATGAATCACTTGATGTCTTTTTACTTCTAAAGTTTGCTTGTTGCTGATGATGTTGACATGGAACGTAGTTTGTGCTAAACGTCATAATTATGGGCGCATACATGAAAGTTATTTCTTTATAATCGTCTGTAGATGAATTTTCATTAAAAACGAACCCTTTAAGTAAAACAATATCGCTTTCTATTTCTGTGACCGATTCGCAAGTGCAACAAATTGTTCAAGTTTTCCCTCCTATGCTTGCATACAAATTAGTAATATGAAAATGTAGGAATATTATCAAATGTCAGTCCTGGTATCCAACTCAGTTACACGCAGCGTTCATTTTACTATAAGAGTTGTACGGAGACTCACTATGGAAAACTAAGTTTTTTTTCCTTAGGAACCATTACAGGTAATTAAACTCTTTTTGTTATTCACGCATAACAGATATCATGCAAATTTATAATATATATTTATTTGTAAACTTGACTGTTGTCTAGATGTCGTTAGATTCAGGCTAGTTTTTAATTAGATGACTGTCTATTGTATTTCAACTTTGCAACAAAAAATCTAAATACCACGAAATAGCCTATCGTTCAAAGTACATGTAATACTATTTGAATCTCGGAATAGTGCATTTCAAATCTTTCATCTTATGTCCACTATGCTTCTATAAGTACAGAAAATGAATAGCTTATTTATGATATTTGATAAATGGTATCTGATTTGTTTTCTTTTGTTCTACAGCATTAACAAACTGTTCGAGAATATTCAGATAAAATGCATATTTAGACTTTGTTGATATCGATATGGAATATAATTCTTCTCTCATTTAAAATCATACTAAATATTCATTCATATACCAAAATATGCACATCGAAGAGCATGAAAATGGCTCTCGAAAGCATACACTTTGATAATAAAAGGTACAAAATCTTGTTCTCTATTTGACTGATTCACTTTCAGGTATCTTAGTTTTCTTAGATACTTGAAAATCCTTTGAAACTATTCTTCATGATAGTTTTAGGAGAATTCTTTTTTAACAAGTAAGTCTCTTCAAGTCAAGGTCAATTGCCAAACACCTATGTAAACCCTAAAACATGCATAATTTCGTTCATTATTATTGTACATGACTGATTAACTATAGTGTGCCATGTTTTCGGTAAAATTCACAAAAAACCGATGACGCCTCAAAATGCATGTCAAATTTTTGTTTTTGAGATCAGATACTCTTATTAGATATTTTAATACTGTTGGTCATTCGTTTTTCTTCTTCGATGCACCAGAAGGTTGTAAATGTGAGTATTACTCTACTCTTCACACTCTGACGTTTACTTTAGCCATGAGGATATATTGTTTTTTTTTCACAACTCATGAAACGTGAATGTTTACAATTGAAATCAACGATATCAATTCAAAACAGTTCTTATCAACGTTTTTCTTATGAATATAAACTGTGAACACATCTTTATCATTAGTAAAAAAATCAGTGTACTCCTGCAAAATATGGCGACGATATTCAATTTATTCTGAGTAGAGTTTGGCGGTTCTACTTCGATTCCCAAAATGCCACGTGAAACCGAAACCATTAAATTTTCAGATGGGAAAGATAGTTTTTAAATCTATTTCGGAAAATCTTCACTATTGAATTGTTGAGATGAAAGCCCTCGCATATTTGAATGCTTATGTGAAACGATGTTATTTATCTATAGTGAAAAATTGAAGTTTTTAGTTATAGATTTAAGAATCTTTAAATCTTCTCGATAATCTAACCGTTAGTGCTCTTTTTATACACGTTGATCTCTATTTTTGAGTCAACCTGTATATAGGTTCAAAAATTTTATTTCGAATTTGAATAATGGCAGACTCTCTGCAAATGTTTTCAGATGAACGAAAAAAATTTTTAATTTGCAATTTTTTTTTCTTTCGTTATAAATTTAGGATATATACTCAAAAACAAATTAAACAAAATAACTTGTTACGATCAATAATTTCAAAAATCTCTTTATTAACATTCCTATTTATTATTCTTCTTTCAAACACTGTTCTTTTTATTTTTTTTTTCATTTGCTTTATAGTGATATAATATTCTTGTTTCTTCTAATGCCAAATAAGACAAAAAAAAACAATGCTTTTTGAACAATGCAGAAAACAAAAAGAAAAATAGATGACAGTATTGGCACATAAAAATTGATGATGAAAATTTCAAAATGATTTTTATTTTAACCAAATATATCAAGACCACCCATATCATCATCATCGGATTCGGGTTCTGCTGGTTTCGGAGGTTTTCCTGCAGGTGCTGGTTGACTAGCGCCAGTTGGTGCACTTGTTGGTGCTGCTGTTGTTGTTGTTGTAGCGGCGAATTTCGATGGATCTTTCAAGAATTCTTTTAACTAAAAAAAGAAAACATAAATCGATTTATATTCGAAAAGTAATTAACGGATTTCAGAACGCTGTTGGATATGGTTATTTATTCATCAGTTGCTTTAATCAGTAGCAGAACTGGATAAACAAAGTTCATCATTAATCCGTATTTATTTATATAAACTTACAGTATTAGCTTGTTCAAAATTGACATCAGTTTCAGCAGCTAATGCAAGTAAACGTTTAAATCCACCAAGAATAAGATGTGGTGCTGATACTTGATTTGGAATATTAATACCAAGTGAAAAAGCTGCTAAACGTTGAATACCCTGGGAAAATTTTGCACGTAAATCAGCTGGTTTTATATCAAGAATGGATGGTTCAAAACATGAACCTGAATCATAAACTAATCGCAAAAAAAAAAGAATAAAAACTTTAGTATTTGAAAAAAGAAAATTCTTCTGTTTTTGTGTACCTTGGCGAATAATAAGACCATAACTAAATGGCGAAATGTTCAACATATTAAGTAATGTTGCTTCACTAGCGCCAACTTTTTCACCAACTTTAATTAAATGAACATCATTCTAAAATGAATAAATATAAAGAATGTTTTTTTGATTTTATTAAATGAAATTTTGAAAGTATTGATTTTGTTTTTATTATACCTACGTACAATGATTTCAATTGTACCACGTGTAATTTTTGTTGGAATTTGAAGTGCTTGAAAAAAACTTGTTTTTTCTGGACCTAAACTTGTTACTTGTGCCGGTATAGTGACATCAACAGGTGCAATAGCACCGGCACGAGCTGGAGCTGCGACCTTGAAGAAAAAAATATATATTCATTGATGAAAAAAAAAAATAATTTTTTTCTATAGAAAATGAACCTTATTTTCCAACAGTTTGTCGCGAATTAAACTTAAATCTTCTTTGGTAAAAACAAAACCAACATTTTCATAGACATGTGGTAATAATTTTTCTAAATTCGAATTTTTAGAGGCTTGTCCTCGAATTGTTTTACGCATCATCGTATTTTTTCCCATCATAAGAACTATAGAAAATATGATTATTACTATTGATCGATAAAAGACAATGAACACTTACCAGCATGACCACGAAGTGATACACGAATTTTTTGCATTTGACGTGAACCGACATTATCAGCGCCAACAACAAATACTTTCGGGTATTCATCCAAATATTGCTGAAAATATTAAAATAAAAAATAAAAAAAAACATATCCAAAAGAAAGTTTTATTGAAATTAGAATTAAAAACAAAATATTACTGATACTGACGAAGGCATCATTCAATGTGATACCTACCGTTCAAACTTATATTGAGCCTAAAAGAACACCTTGGTACGATAAACTTTCGATATACTTAAAACTGAATCGAAAATGCAATAAATCAATCATAATTCAGCTCAGAAAGCTCATGAAGTATTTCGAGTGGCTTTCCTCGTATATTAAAACTAATCCAGATTTGAACTATAACTCGGAATCTACTAGATGTTGCAAGAGTAGTTCCACAGTTGATTGATCACTTTTCAGTAGAGATTTAGCACATCATATAGATTCTAATGAGCTATGAATATACTGAAACGTTTAGATTATTGCTGCAGAGATACTGCAGTTATTAACTCAATAGTGCAGTGCCCCTCCGAATGAGAATTATTTTGTAAACGTTTCAGGTATTTTGACTTACTGCTGTTCTGAAATAAGAACATTGAGTCTATAGATGTATATAAGTAATGCAAAAGATACTCTTTTATCATAACTCTATCTTAAGATGGAAACAACAAAAAGATCTGAAATTCTCATTTACAAGCACTCTCATTAAAGTCTATTTCTGTACAAAGTTTCAAGTCAAAATGTGAATATCAGTTTCCTTGAGGAGGATCACAACATTGAGTTAAACAATGAAGTACCTCGCCAGCAATAAGCTAAATGTTTCAGGTTATTAATAGCTCATTAGAATATGCATGATGGGCACAGTCTCGACTGAAAAGTGATCAGTCAATTGGGAGCTTTCTTCGTTAGACTAGCAATAAAAAGTGTACCTGATTTCAAAGCTCTGTGGAGACGAATATGATCGTATTCCATTAATCCTCAATAGAAAACATTTTTGATTGTGAGAGATTTTTTTCATGATATAGATAGATAATTGAATCTTCAAACAGCTAAATACAGTCCGTACAACAACTGAAAAAATTCTTCATGATCTTTTGTACTAATTTAAAAATAAGATAGAAAATTCAGTTAAAATCTATTGAAATTATTAATTCATCAATTGCTCTCAGAAAGCGATTATTCTCAATGTTTCCGAAGAAACTCAGAATTGCAGAACACATTTATATATGATCATCATCAATGAGCAATGATTTCGAATTTTGTTTTAGAAAAAACAAAACTATCTTATACCGTTAAACGCATTGTATATTTGGCTTTCCATGTTGAACGATCTTCTTTCACCATCTTTTTTTTTCAATAATTTTACCAGATGTTTCAATCTAAAAATTAAAACTAACAAGCAAATGTAACACAAAGAAAAGTTTCGATGAATATGAATTTCTTAATACACGTCGATGTATGGTCCTCCTTCGAAATAAATAAATAAACAACTATTGCTAATATGTTATAACTATTAAGAGATAATTTTAATATTTAAAAAAAATAAAATAAAATAAAATAATAACTATTGAATTTAATTTTTTTAACACTATTTTTCTTTTAAATAAAATGAATAGAGGAAAAAATAACATTCAAATGACGAAATTGACCAATCATGATATTTTATGTTCTTCTAACATCTATGTTAACGAAGATCGTAAAATTATCAAAAAAGTTATAATAATTATGAATGAAATAGGAACAGTAAAAACAAATCAAAAACGTTCATATGAATCTGAACAAAATTCTCCTTCAAAACATTCTAAATATGATATAATTGAAATCGATGAACAGTATGATAGTTCAACAACTAATACTGATACTGAATCGATATATATTAGTAGTGATACAGAAGAATCAAAAATAGAACAAAATGATGATAATGATGATGATGATGATGATAGTGATATCGAAGATTTTGAAGATGAATCAAATATATCAACAGATCAATCTCGATACTATCCAGTTGTTTTAAATGAAACAATTCTTCAACAAAAATCATCTTTAAGTAGACATTCAAAAAAATTATTAAAACAATTCAAATATTTCTATGAACATAGTAAAAGAAAATCTATTGAACCAACACAATCAATAGATGATAATATAAATCAAAGAAAAAAATTACGTTGGGAATTAAGAAATACATTTAATCGAAATGATCTTTTTAAAGAAGGTTATGCAGTTTTATCGGATGAATCATTTCCATTTTATTCACTTTGTTATATGGTTAGTATAAAACAATATTTTATTTTTATACTAATTCTGGATAGATTTTCGATTTTCATATAAGTCACTTTTGTCATATGAAATGTCTAATATGTATGAAACATCATCTCAAAGGATTGTATTGTATATCGATAACGTCTCTTTATAATTTTTTATTGCATTTCTTGCGGAATTCAGTACAGCTTTTTATGTTTCATCATCAATATGTCATGTCGTATTGATGGAAAAATGCAGCCCGTAATATTAATAATAGAATAGTTAACGATTAGAATTTCGCCTTGGACTGAAGAATTTCTGTCGAAGTTACATCACTAAAAGAATCAATTATTTGTACTGTCTCATAATAAAAACTTTATTTTTCATATACTAAATAATGATGTAAAATAAACTACTTTATAGAACCATAAGTTTCAAGGAAAACAAACTATCAGAAGGATATTCTTATTAACAAGTAGTATCAAAAGAACTATATATGTAAGTCAAGAAGTTGAACTCTGTAAGACTATTACTTATATAAATGACAGTTTCCAGATATGAAATACAGCTTAAAATATCGAGAGATAGTCTTTCAATTAGGTCGATCTACTCAAGTGAAGAAATACGAGTCAGTTCTGCCAGATTGTGCTCGCTTCCGACCGGAAATTAAAAAATCCAGTAACTCGATTATTGTTTACAATGCCCAGTGTTTTCCTGCCAATTACAATGATTTTTTCGACAGATTTCAATGAAATCCGATTGTTGTCGGAGCCGGGGAATCATCGATCTGAATCTAAGTTCGTAGAATTTTTTTGGTCGAAAATGAAACCTTTTGGATGAGAACTCACCAAAACTCTACTGAGCTGGCTGCCGTAGTCATTGACTTGGATATCTATCGGTCATATATGAGATTTTTTTTTATACAGAGTCTAGATTTAAGAATAATACTTGCTGAATGCATTTAATATTCCATCAAAGAATTCTATGTCAACAGCAAGGAATCTTTTTCATGATACTTTATTCGAAAAATTATCTCTATTGAATCTTTCGATAAAATGGTGAAATTCATAGAGGAGTAAAAAAAAAAAAATATAAATTTATATATATTTTTTTCTAGTGTGGTTCAATGGGTACAGATTTAATTTATTGTAATAGCTGTTGTGAAGCTTATCATAGAGCTTGTTTAAATGAATCTGAATGTCCACGTTTATGTCCTACACCTGAATCATGGTTATGTCCAAATTGTATTGTATGTAATATATGTGGTTTAGTTAAAGATTCTCAATTAATATCTTGTTCTGATTGTAAAAGAACATTTCATATTAAATGTATAAAACAAACAAAAGATGAACAACAATATCATAACCTTCGTAATCAAATATGGTTTTGTCCATTATGTATTAAATGTGATTGCGGACAAACAATAATATCAAATGAACAAAATCTTTTATCATTAACAAAATCATTTTCATCTCAACAATCACTTATGTGTTCTGATTGTTTAAATAATATGAAAATAATACGTACAAATAAAACAAATCAAATTGAAAAATGTCATTTATGTGAAAGATTTATTGAACAATTTATTACAAAACCTAAACCATTATTTTCATTAACATTAATTGGTAATCAATCACAACAAAAAATTCAAAATTTATTACAATGTATTAAATGTAAACATCGTTTTCATCCGAAATGTGATGGTTATTTAAATGAAGATATTATATTAATACCATATATTAAAAATATATCTACAAATATTATTTGTTCAAAATGTGATTATAATCAAAAAGAAAATATTAAACAATCTTTAATTAATTATAAACTTCAAGGTAATTAAAACTGGAATGAATAGTTTTTAAAGAAATAGTAAAGTTTCATTGATTATCTATTGGACGTACTACAGAGGAAACTACTCGAATTGATACTCGCCATTTATACTCGTATTGGGTTCATCACGAGATCTCGATAAGACTAGAAAAATTCTGAAAGGATTCATGCACATAGATGTTCGGAAACAAGTTATGATTGTTTAATCAAATATTCGATTCAACTGTATGTATTTATCAAAAAATCAAATAACACTATTTCAATATGAAACTTTGCCTATAAAAAGGACGAATGATTAGTAGAATATCTTGGAAGGGAATGCTATTTTCTTAAGGCATTGAGTTTTCAAGAAAACTTGATTTTTATTGCAAATGACCAGTTTTTGCAATTGCAATATCTCGACAATTGATAATTCCCACAATCATCATACATATCTGTGAACGACATTTCTGATCAAAAATTCAATACAATGATCATAAACCGGCTGCAGAAATCCTCAGAAGGTTTCTCCGTGCGTAGTGTGATGGGCCGTAAGAGATTTGTAAGAAACGTAATGTTACGAAAGAAAATACGAAGTTATGAGAAAGTAACCGAAGAGTCTAATAGATTGCGATAGAGGTATTATTTTCACATAGATTTCGTAATTATCGTTTCATTTAAGTGAGTTTTTGCAAACTTTAAAATTTTGAAATTGCTGGGCGGCCCATCACTACCCGTACGTAAATTGAAAAAAACGAATATTGAAGAATTTTCTTAGATATGTTACAAATAAATTCTAGTATAGTTTTCTCAAGATCAGAACTCAAAAACTTGATTCTGATACATCTCTATATAAGAGAATTTTCTATTGTGAGAAAGTTTTTGTTCGATTTTCTTGCGACTACAAAAAAAAGTATTTATCTATTCAAAATAAAATTTAATCTATAAATAAATTTTTATTGTTTTATTTTATTTTATTTTTGTTTAGTTGTGAAAAATATTATAACAAGTATAACATCAACATTACAAATAATGATATCTGAAGAAAATCGTTTAAATAATATGAAACATTATATGTCTAATCTTCAACAATTACATCAATCATGTAATCAATCATTAAATTTACATGCTTTTATTAATGATTTACTTATTATTGTTCAACATTTACTTGATAATTATGATAGTCGTCAATGGCAAGCAGCAATAAATAATTGTATAAATATTCAATGTCCATGGTTTAAAACTTCAAATTTATCTTCAAATAATCATACATTATTTTGTTCAACAACAACAACAACAAATACATCTATAAATCATTCAAATATATTATTAAATCGTTGTTATATATCACCATCCATTGATCATACATATTCATTAAATAATGAACGTCAATTATTTCAATCAAATTTATATAAAAATAATTTATTAACATCAAGTGATTCATTATTACGTTATATAGATAATAAATTGGAAAATAATTATTCATTTGAAAATTTATATCAAATTGATACAAGATTATGTCAATTATGTCAAACATATGCTGATCATTTTTCATCAAATATATCACGTCTTATATCAATTGGTATTAATCAATGGGTACATATTGGTTGTATACTTCCAGCTTATTCAAAAAATCTTGATCAATCACCATATATTTTACGTAATATACATGAAACAATAAATCGTTGTCAAACAAAATATAAATGTGATTTATGTTTTAAAATGGGTGCTACTGTACAATGTTATGAAAATGAATGTAGTGCACGTTTTCATTGTCAATGTATTGATACATATTATTCAAAAATAGATAGAAATTTTCAACAAAAATTAAATATTAATAATGGATTATTACCAAATTTAACAACTTTATGTTCAAAACATTGTAAAAAACAAATAAAAAATAATGCCGATGGAAATAATAATGATCAAACAAATGAACATATGATAAACAGTATGTAGAACTTTTGTTTTCTTTTCAAATCACTTCAAAATTTCTGAATAATTATCTTGTATGAATTGCACATGTACATTTAGAAAAAAGAATTTTTTTTTTCTAAAAGTCAAAATCAGATAAAACAGAATAGCTAACCAAAGTTGATTATAACATAATCCATCTTGATCAGGTTAGATATGTCTAAACATTAGAATATAACGGATGTCCTTGGCAGAACGGTTTTTCTTTGTCTGTTAATAGTATCTCTTTTAATTCTCTACAAAACGATATAATTTTTATTATTGTAAATGGCATCTGACGACACGCGTCGAATGTGAATAATTTAATTACAATAAATTTCTATCAAATTATGTTGATTGCATCATAGAGTTTTCGTATGACAGCTTCTTTCAACATGATAGATGAAATCTACAATATTTCTCTCAAATAGAAGACCTCGATGTATTAAAATTTAGACAATAGGGTGATCAATAGTTTTTTACGATGAAAGCGGTAGAGTTGACTTGGTACCTATGTTGCCTGAGTAGGTGGATGTGAAGTTTTGCACTACCCTCTGGTGAAATGTCCGATCTGACGTCAATCATTATATTCGATCAAGTAGTATTAAACTACGCTAAATATATCAAGAATGTTGTTGCAATACTACTTAAATATAAAAATGAAGCCTTCGAAACACATCAGAAATTTCAGCAGACAGTAGTGTGAAGCTGCAGGTTCATCAACTCATGCAACACCAATACCAAGATGACTTTCTCTCTCTCATCGTCAAAACTCATCGATTGGCAAACAGTCAACATTTAAATATATCGGACTATGTAATTTGAGACGAATTTTGTAGATTTCATAAAATTATGTTGAAAGAAACTGTCATACAAAAACTGTATGATGCAATTCAAATTTAGGGCCCCCTCTCATAAACGAACTTTTTATTTTTCCGTGAAATTCAACCAAAATTTTAGAGAATGTTAATCTTGGCTAGAGTAGATTATGGTTAAAATATCTCCTCAAATCTGTCAAATATTCACGAGTTATAGTCAATTTATTGGTCAAAAATAACCTGTCCGCGGGCAAGATTTTCACAATCAGAACACGAGCTAATATGGCAGGGCTCTTTTTAAGTTGTAGAGTACCCTTGGCGCTAGATTCTCATAGAGCTCGATTTTTGAAATTCGCTTTGTTTGTTCTATAAAAAATCTTCTCCGAACAATTCTTGAATTCATGGCCAAAAGAATCGCTGATAAAAATGAGATATGTAGGTTTTTTATTTCACCAATAGAGAATTCAAAAATCGCGCTCTATGAGGATCTAGCCCTAACTGCCTCTATGCAATAAAAAAGAATTATCATTTCTATATTGAGTCGTCCTCGAGTAAGGTTTGCCCGAGGAAACAGTATACTCGAAAAAACGGATTTTAAGAAAAACGGAAAATAAGTTTTTCAAAACCTTATTTTTTTTCAATATGGAGGTTCAGAAAAGCTATGTAATATTCTTAAAGCTCGTCATAAAATCAATCAATTATAGTGTATTCGAGAGTAGACACTTTGCTCTATCTAACATGTTATACATCACAAAATTGATGAATTTGACAAAAACTGACTTTGTCTGAGGGAGAGGGCCTTAATTAAAAAAAACTTTTTTTTTCCAAAATGATTTACGTGTGACTGTTTGTTTTACGAGTGTCTTCTAAAATTATGGATGTTATTTACATTCATGAGAACGAAATCGCTTTGCAGACAATAAAAAAAATGAATCTTTTTATAAAATACAAAGTCTAAAGAAATAGATTTTAACAGAGACACCATAAAACTACGAATAGGTTCATTCTTTCTGTAACACCTGTTAATTCCATATATATATATGTATCAACCAATCTGACTTATATTTAGATGATATCAATCTTCCAAAATTTAAATCAATTAATTTATCATCAACTATCTATGCTGATCTATCAAATGCTTTAATCGAATTTAGTTTAACTGATATAAAACTTTGTATTGGTTCTCTACAAATAAAATCTCTTGGTAATTTTGATTATCTTCTTGATAATGATCCTAATATAAATATCTATCCAAATAAATATTCTGCATCACGTCTATTTTGGAGTACAAAAAATGCTCGACAAAAAACAGTTTATCATTTACATATAGAAATCGAACAAACATATCATAATGATAAATTAAATCATCAAACAATTGAATATCCATTATCAAATGAACAAATACAACTTAATCAATTATATGAAACATGTGAAAAATATTTTAATAAATATAAAATAAAAGATGATTCTCAAAAAAAAATAATTCATTTAAAAAATGAAAATTTAAATAATAAAATTGAAAAATTATCATCATCTATTAAATGTCAACCATCGAAATCTATATTAAAAAATATTATTCGACCAAGAAATAGATTTAATAATGAAAATAATATTCAATTCAATAAATCATCATCAATTATAACAGAAGAAAATTCTCAAACAATATCAATTGATACTAAAACTTTACGAAATTTATTTATAAATGATTCATTAAAATCATCAGATCATTCTCGATTTGCTTTAGCACTTGTACAAGCTCTTCAAAATGTTGATCAATCATTATCATTAACAAAAATGTATATTATGAAATGAATATTTTTCTTTTCTATCATTTTATTTATATTTATTTATAGACAACAACATGAACCTATTTTCACTTATTATTTATCTAATCAAACAAGTATTCCATCCAATCAATCAACAATAGAGAAGAATAATGATGGTTTGTTAGATCAATTATTCAAAAATATAAATCCATCTGAACAGTTAAATGGTATGAACAACAAGAGTGTAGACTTACGAGAGAACGTTTTCAATTGATCAATTGCTTTTGTGTTTCGACTCTCTGCATAAGATAGACTCTAGTGAGGTATGAAGAGTCTCAAAAGAATAAATCTCTTTAGGCTTCCTGTCTCGAGTTATAGGCATTTTACTGGAAAATTAGTCTATTTGCCACTTGAATCTTCTGAAAATTTCAGCATCTTTCATAGAATATGAGATATCTTTGGGATTTCAATATTTTGGAAAAGAAGTATTGTTTCATAGATTTATCTGTGGACAACATCTCAAGTCGAAATATCGTCAATCTATTGGCTTCTGTATGGTATACCATTGGCTGAAATTCCAGTAAAATGCTTAGAAGTCTGGACAGAAGGCTTACGGCAATTTATCATTTTGAATCTTTCCATATCTCACTCGGATCTACCTTATGCACCGAGTCTGAACTCAAAAATGATTTATGACTTAAAAGCGTTCCCTCGTTAGAGAAAATGAATAAAATAAAAGATCAGATTAAGATGTACTTGTCACTTAAAACTATCTTTAACCTACCAGATGATTTTTCTTATATCAAATAGTTTTGATTGAAAATATAAATAAATATAGTTACTTATATGACTAATAAATTACAAAACAAATGATTCTCTCTCTTAAGATTCTCAATTGCAGTCAACATTGACTATTAATGTTCACAGTAACTCCATTGAAACATATATTCCACAAATAGATGGAAATATTGATGATGATGATGAAGATCTACTAATTTCTTCTTCCTTAATAAATTCTTTAATTGAACAAATAGTAAATGAAAAATCTTTTCATATTAATCCTGAATATTCAACTAATTTATCTCATTATCCATCTAATAATATTGATTCAAAAATAAAATCAATATCTACTGATGAACTAATTTATTACTATCAACAATGGTTAACATCAAAATTTGGTCGTATAAAATTTACAATTATTAGTGATGATGGATATAAAATTGTGTCAGATAATTTAGATGATGCTTGGTTAACAATTGTTAATTTAGTACGTGAATGTCGTGATGATATGAATTTAACACATTTACCTATGCGAAATGAAGAATTAAATGGACATTATATATTTGGTTTAACAAAATCAATTATTAAAATAATGTTAAATCAAATTTATATAAATTCATTATCAACAGATAAACAAACTGATACAATTATATTACCATTGTCATCATCATCATCATCATCATCAAATAAAAATAATTCAATATGTTTTTTAAAGAAAAAAAATTCGAATAAAAAAATCTTACCATTAAATGCAAGATTAAATATTTATCAACGAAAACATTCTCAACGTCAAAGATTTAATTGGTTATCAAATCCAAATCGAAAAATAGAATATGCATTAAAATCATTCGAAATTGATGATGCACTTGATCATGCAAGGTAAACTATTGAAGATTGAAATTTATTGACAAAAAATTCAATTAGATATGAATGACTTTAGCTAAACTCTTGCTCAAAACATTTTTAGCAAAATGCAAGAAAACTAATATTTTTGCTAAGAAAAAAACTTTTTTACTAGAAGATTCAAGTAGAAAACTGCAGATTCCACAACTTCAAAAGACTTTTTATGATTTCATAAAACTCCGCGGGATTTGGGCACTAATATCTCTGCTATTTTCATCTCAATAAAACTTGTCATTGTAACTTTAAAAAATGGTATTTACACTCCAAAGCCAGATTTTTTAGTTGTAAAGTTCGCTGTATTTCAAAAAGATGCTTTTGAAAAGCTCATAACTGTCTATTAAGCTTTATGGAACTTCGTGAAACAAGATCTAAAAGGGGTGTTGAAGCATATAGAGTAGAAACTTGCAAATCTCTCTCAACCTACAAATTAGAACAGACGAGATCAGCAGACATGTTAGAAACGGCTCATTACAGATATTCTGAGGAATGTCTCTTCTTCGTCACAGACCGTGACAGATGCCTTCGCAACCGTCCTCCGGCTCAGATGCGACAAACGTTATTAATACACGATCACAAACTTAATATGCATAAGAATAGCTTTTTCTTATGAATGGTCTTTGATTGCTGAGAGAAGAAGCAGAGTTAATATATATGTCCTTGTGAGTTCAAATTCTGTGCACTTCTATATTATCAAGTGTTTGTATCAGTGTATTCTTGATTGAATTCATATATTGAAGTTAATTTCATTGATTTACATCTCTTTCTTGACATTAAACTATATATATAAATATTTTTTGTCTTTTTTTAAAAGACGAATTCTTCTTGAAGAATCTTCGGTTAGTTTACGTCTTTATCATTTACATTATTTTGCTCAACGTGCATTAATTGTTGGGTCATCATCTATACATGGTTGTGGTTTATTTACATTAATTGATTTGATTGAAGGACAAATGATTATTGAATATACGGGTGAAGTTGTTCGACCATGTCTTACAGATAAACGTGAACGTGAAAATGAAAAAAAAGTAAAATGTTCCAAAAAAAAGCAAAATAATGAAAATTGTAATTTAGACTTTGTTTTTTTTTTCATAGGGTTTTGGTTGTTATATGTTTACTGTTGATTCAATGAGTGTTATTGATGCTACACATCAAGGAAATAAAGCTCGTTTTATAAATCATAATTGTCAAGTAAGATAAAAATTGATAGATTTCATCTAAATGAAATTATTTTGTCTAGCCAAATTGTTTTGCAAAAACTGTTCTATCCGGTGGTATTAAACATATTGTTATTTATGCTCTTATGAATATAAGTCGTGGTTCTGAATTAACTTATGATTATTCATTTGCTGAAGAAGATATCAAAATTCCTTGTCATTGTGGTACAAATAAATGTCGAATTTATTTGAACTAATCCTATATACATATATGTATATTTTTGTATTCCTAGTCAGGTTTTCGTATGTTGCATGATATGACCGTTTGTATAAGTGTCTTTTGAATACGTTTTATAGAAATATATAAATAAAGGATATGCTCCTAATTTTAGTTAATTTTCAATTTGATCCAACATATATTAGTATAGTCCATTGTCTAACTATTTCAATGGTCTCTCTTGTTCTCTCCACTAAATTTTACATGATGTATGCCAGTTTTAAAAGAAGTGAATTAAATATTAAATAAGATAAAGCACAAATAACACTAAGATAGGAAATTGAAATATTGCAGCTTCTGTTCATCCAAATGGGATCATTTATTGGTATTGTAATCGTTTAATTTTCCAATGCACTTCATGAATAATATTAGATTTCTAATGAGTGCGAACATTTCTCTACTTAGTGATTCAATTCCACTCAAGATAATCATTCTGAACAAGAAAGCTCAGAATTGTCACATTTTTTTATTAAGATATACAACGATTTACTTTTGAATCGGATCGTCCAACTCTATCTAACCATTTGTGAGAAACAAACACTAAATTTTGGTTAAATTTCATTCTTCGTTCAATTCAAATCGACATTGACTTAGTTGGTTATCTAGCATAGGTTCTACTTTTTGTAGCATCTTATTTTGTGTGGTCTGTTACTACTCAATCGAATGAAATCTGTAGAATCTTTTTTGTTTCATCTATATCGCTCATCAATAGTATATAAAATGAATTGAATGAACTAATTGTATTTTTGTTCTATGCAACGATAGTAGATTGTCGCCGTAGCTGGCTGTTTAGAAATAAAGACGATTGTTTAAGAAACCGTTTTCAGTTGGATTGTGCGACTCCTTACAATGTCTTCGAAACATAGTTAACAGTTACTTTTTTTGTTGTGATAGTCGTTAACCATGATTTTTCACGGTCATTGTTTATGATGATAGTAATGCATTCTAAAACTTCGTTTATTATTGTTGTTATTGATTTTTATATAGCTGTGTACGACCATGAATTATTGAACTGGATATCAGTTTATTTTTGATCAGTCTTGGTAGTAACAATTTAAATATTCAGATTCATTTTCTTTGCATCTTTTAACTTCTAACAATTGCTTAGTATTGCACTTGCTAAATGTACTGCTTAGTCTATATTAAGAGGCCAGTGCCTCAACTTTTTTCTTTTTAATATTTCAATTAATCGACGTAATTATCTTTTTCGTAGCTTCTCAGTTAACTTATCTGTTAATACTGAAGTGTAAAATCAGCATGTGATTATCCTTTTTAGGTCATTCTTGACTTTCACAACCAATTGCTGATCGGTGTTATTTTTCTAGTCTTTAGTATCTTATTTGATGATTCCAACAGTGACACAAGTATGCTTTCTCAAGTCATCAATGCTGCGATAGGCTGAAAGATGAAGAAAATTTGATGAACGAAAGCTAACAATGAATTTGAAAATCTTTGTTTGATAAGATTGGCAACAAAGGTAAATGTTCTCTTTGTTTATGAAGTGTTCATTCTGCATGCCATCAACATAGATACAGTAAAACTCTTATTTGTTAACACATTTATATCACAATCTATTGAAGATGAGTAAAAGAAACATGAAAACTAGAAAACTGAAATGAAATACATTATGATTGTAGTGAAACGTCTATCGTTTCCGCAAATTTTCAACAGCTCGATTTCCTGGCATAATTAGCAAAGGAAATATCCATTTGAACAATCGATTGCTTAATCGATCTTGAACTCCATGTTGATCAGCAGCTTCATAAAAAGCTCCAATATCAGCAAAATGTCCATATTTATGTATTGTTAATAGTCGTTCGAGTTTTTCATTCTGTTCACTATTTGTAACGTACTGAATGAATGTATTGTCAATACTATTCCATTCACTTTGACCATCTCGATGAATACCATAGCCGATTATTGTGTTTTCATGAACTAGTTTTTCTTTAGCTGCTGATACTAGTGCAGTATCAACAATATAACTATCAACAAGCACCAACGTTGCTGTTCTATGTTAAAAAAAATCTGTATATGTATGCAATTCATATGTTATGCTCGGATCTATTAAGCCATGTAAGATTTGCGTATTGATATCGACAAATTATAATCGACAAGGAATATCAACTGCTCGCAACAAAGCAGCAAATAAAGATGATTTTGTATTGCAAAATCCTCGATCTGTTTTAATGTCACCTGAAGCAGTTTCATTCCAAAATCGACCACTCCATCCAAATGGTATTGAGTCACGCACATAATTATGAATGAGAATAGCATGTTCAGTTGGTGTATCGTTCTCGGAATGTCTAATAATTTCTTTTGCTAATGAAGTAATTGACAGATGATGATGATCAATATAGTGCGTTGCTGACAAATCAGCTTCTGTCGGAGGTAAATCATTGTTTTCAGTTATTTAAAACAAATTGATGCACACAGAGTATCTTTTCTAAAGAAAGAAAATCTCAAAATTCAATCATTACTCTTTAAAAATCTCACGCTACCTACATTACTTTGAAATAACTGCCATATATGATGTTAGAAAAATCGTTCTTTTTTAAAATAAGCTGAATTAGATCGATTTATTTTTATATAAGCTAAACTGTTATATTCTTGTCTTTGCAATGGTAATTACGTAGTTTCAACTTATCCTTATAAAAAGTTCAATTCATTTTTTTTCAACATAATATCTAGTAGAGACTGAGCTACAAGCTATCCTATATCCGGACCTGGTCGGATTCGAATCTTCAAATCGTGGATTCGTACCTCTTTAGATTGCATATAACATATTCTTGCTTGATATTGTCTACATAAATACAAATAAAACTATTTCATATAGCTTTAGTTTATGGTGTTTTTATTGATATGACTTTTTCTCTGAGTAGCTAATGGAAAACTAAAAGTTGGATTCTTTACTTGTTCATGTGCATCGAAGGTGCCAGATATCTATGATAAAAAAAACGAGTTCGACCCTGAGATCAGATCTAGAAAAGCATGAATCCGTAGCTCCCTATTGATACATATAAACTACAATTTTTTCTTGTTATATATATCTTTTGGTCCATTTTAGTGTTTCATTTGTAACTCATTAATTAGTTACTCAGAGACATGAATAAAAAGTTGATTTTGCTCATATTGTGTAAGCAACAGAATAGAGAGAGATTGTCGCAAAGCTCAGCGGACACATAGAATGTTTGCTTGGTATGAGAAGAAATGTAGATTGTTTACACTATATATTCCTACTGTTTCGACAAATCTCAATTTATTGGAATGATCAACGAGAAATGATACGAACAAGAAAAGCTAGACTAGCAGAGCATTTTGAAAGTCCTGCGAAAACAAAACAGTTTACTTTTCCAGTTACTGTGTCCTATTTACTTTCAATCTTTGGCTGTGCCCGCTGAATAAATAATATTGTTATATAATCATTGAAGAACATTGAATGCATTCGCTTTATTGTAGCAAATGAAAGATTTCCCTTTGTTGAATTTCATGTGCCTTCAAGATAATTTACACATTAAAATCGAGTTTTTTTTCAACGCATTTGATTAAAAAAACTATTAAAAATGATTTTACAGTCTTCAAATAGAATGTCATAAAAACTAACGAAATTAACGCATCAATAAAACATCTCTTTCAAAGTTTTGTATTGACTCAAACTATCTTATCAGATGAATCATTGGATAATTTTTTCCATTTAGTTTTGACGATTTTATAGTTGTTTTTAGTGAGTAAGGTACTGCAGTAAGAAAGTTTTCATGTCTAGTTTACAATTAATATATAGAGGAAAATAATAGATGCCAGTAGCAGTTATTCTTCACACTCCCATCATCCTTTATGATATATAGAAATGAAAAAAAAGCAACATACAAGATTTGCTGTGAACTATATAATCTGAAACATGTTTCCAAAAAGATAGAATATCTGTACATCAGCATTGGTACGAAAAGAAATCAGATTTTCTATTAGTACCACATGAGAGATACGAAGCGTTGATTGCTTCATGAGAGATGCTACCTGATCGACTTATGGGTAATGCTCCAACATAATAGTGTTTGATAGCGTAAGAGACAACACAGTTTCATTGAGCGACGTAGTATATACTATTGAGTCATCGGATGATCACACCATAGATCTTAATTAAATGTTTGTGAAAGTGTTAAGAAAGCTACAAACATTGAGGGAAATCGACATTGCCGTCGACAAATGTATTTCCGTGCGAAAAACATCATTGAGTATATATCACAGCACTTTATTTCTCCTTTTTGCATGTGCACATTTTATATATTTCAACTTGGGAAATATCCTGCTGTAAAAAGCCTCACGGTTTCGATGAAAATAATTGCTAAAAAACTTTAACTGCTAAGTTTCTTCTTCTAATTATCACAGTTCTTATTAAGTTTCATGCACTTCACAGATGTCTTTATTCGTAATTTTGTATTTCGGTAAGAAAAATGATTGTGAGATGGCTTCCAAGAATAGCTTTTCCTAGGAAAAAAAGAACCAATGAAGTCTCATTCTAGATGTTGTTCGAACGGGATTTCGGATCTTCGCCAATAAAACTTTCGCCAAATAGCACTTTCGCCAATGGCGAAACTCCACTATACTTTCACCAATAGACACACTGGAATATCGCCAATTGGCGAATGTCCACTGTACTTTCGCCAACACACTTCATGGAGTTTCACCAGTTGGCGAAAGTATAGGAGACTTTCGCCAATTTAAGTGCTAATTAGACGTGAATTAGAAAATGTGCATTGACTATATTAATAAGTTACGTTTGTGTATGTTGTAGTCATATATTTTTTATGGCATTTTAGATAATAATTATGCCGCCCATTGTTAGCGTGAAATACAAGATCATTAGCTAATACAATCAAGTCTCTTTCTCATCTTGTTGGTGAACCTGTTTTGTCGTGGATGAAAGGGAAAGAAAAAAATTAATGTTTCGAAATCAGACTTATCAGGTGCATCATCAGATGAACATTAGGTTATGCTTTATTTGCCTTTTTCTTCATATTAATCTCGCTTTTTTCTTATTAAAAACATGACTCCCTCATATATGAATATACTGTAAGCGTAAGCTATAGTATATATTCTAACAGTATTAGCTTTAGCCCTTACATGTATCCTGTATTAATATTATTTTGTGACGGCTGACAAAACTCCACTATACTTTCGTCAATTGGCGAACGTCCGCTGTACCTTCGCCAACACATCCCTGTACTTTCGCCATTGGCGAATGTCCTATTGGCGAAAGTCCGAATTGGCGATCTTCCGGTAACCCGTTCGAACGCCATTTTCGTGCATAAAAATTATTAATGTTCAGCTTTTAAATTCTTTTTTTCAGAAAGGATATGGACATGGAATTCATCGAATATTCATGATAGAAAATGCACGCGATCATGTGGATAAGTAAGACAAAAATTCAGTTGCCATGGAAAAGGACATTTAGCTACATTTACATCAAGTTCATACGAACTATGAGTCCGCTCATTTGTCAAACAAATTCTTTGCCGATCACAATCAACAAATAATTCCAATACGTCATTCACTTCCATGTCACTTCTATAGCCGCCAAACCCGATGTTCTGAACACCATTTAAGTAGACTTGATTTCGTCCGGCCCAACCATAAGTAGTGAGAGTGTAGTATGACTGTCGCTGAATAGCAGCATTTTTTGATACAATTCCAAAAAAAGCCCATTTGTTGCCATCAAGTTGTTCAATTTTAAATCGAAACCGATGTTGTCCCGAAGAATATTCACATCTACCACGAGCTGCTGAATCATGGACTGACTGATCATGAATGATCACTCGGCCATTGTCTTCAATTCGAATATTTCCATCTGTTCTATCAAAGACATCGATTATTAATGAATTTTCATTAATGGAAATTTTGTGTATCAACGTGGCCATATTGTTATCTTTTTGAATTTTGATTTCTTGTGGTGTGTTCATCTCTTTTTTTAATTTTTCCAGCAACTCTTTCCATTCTTTGATATCAGTCTCAACGAATTCATCATCGGTACGAGCTTTCTGTAGTTGTTCAGCGAGTAATCCCAAAGAGATTTTAATATTATCCATATGTTTTCCTATGATGCTTAACAGTTGTTTTCGAGCATCGTCAGCAACCTGACGAATTTTATCCATCGATTGTTGCTCCCACTCGTCAATTTCTTTCATGAGAGGATGTAGATGAGGCTTCGTTGTAATCTCGTTAAAATTTTGTTGAAGTTGATCGTGAACAAGAACAATTTCTTCATCCAACTCTTTGGCCAGTAATTGACGATGTTCATTCGCATGAGGCAAGCAAAAGTATCGTGAACATCCATAACAGCTGAAAATTCCGACAGCTTTATTACATATTGCGCAGCGCGGCTTGCTTGATGTTGAAGTTGCCATGTGCGTTTGTGAAGTAAATGTTGATAAATGAATAGTGAAGAAAAAGAACACAATCTACGAGCATACTTCATCTGACTAAATAATATGCTTTCCTCCATACTGTCGTGCAAAAAATTAATAGTCTTATTATTGATGATTCTGGTCATGTGAAACAATAAGTCTACATCATATAAAATTTTCAATACATGTTTTATAGGAAATTGAGGGATAGGTGAATGCAGGTCTTCTCTTCAATTATACTAACCAGTCCATCCACAAAGATACACACAAAAAAAGAGGCACACACTCTCATTTGCATGATAACGTTGCGATATGCTCAACTGTTTCTCCTTTTCGCTATTGCAACCGCTAATACATTAAATACTCATGAATTTATCTCGATCTCTATCCATAATAGCTCACCTACACTCATTTGCCTACTATATTTGTCCATTGACATTTTTATAAGATTCTCGCTTTGGTTTGAAGTCCTAGTTCAACATAGACAGAAAAGAAATCAGTTACATCCACTTCTTTTATATGTGTAGATTATGTAAGACGATTATCCCAAGAACATTTAATTGTTACAAAAGAATTTAAAAGTACTCGATCAATAATATCTAACTTTTCTGCATGCATGAAAAAACTTTCAACAAGCAAACTAATATACAGTATTATTAATTTCACTCATTTCTTTTATTTTTAGTAGAAAAATAAAGAGAAGTAGAATCATTTACACAACTGATGGAGAGAGTAGAACTTTGAATATAATTGAATATTTTGATTTCTACAAAAAATGATTCTTTCAGCATTTGTGTCTATTCCATGCAGAATTTTCTGGTGCAAAGTTAAAATCTCAAACCAAAATTTTTTCGAATAAAATCTTTTCTTCGATGTATGGATAGTCTTTGGTTCAACTGATTTTTCATTCAGTTATAAATCGTCTATTAATTTTCTATAATAAAAAGGCAATTTTCTGATTATTTCATGTGAAGTACATTACATAAATAAGTACCGTAGTGGTCATATCCAACATTTTTGAGTTTTATACTAAATTTGTTTTAGACTTCTGTAAATTGCATCTTTTAAGATATGGACTCATTAATAGAGTGAAATCTTCTTATAAACAGACAATTTTTGTCGTCAAACATAAAAAAGAAAAAGATTATAGAGAACCAATACTTTTTTTTCTTTTGACTCTTTGTTTTTGTTTTCGTATATTCAGATCAGATTTAAACATATTCATATTTGTTTCATTTAGTTTATTTTAATAAAAAAAAAAAAAAAAATTAGAATCGTTTCACACGCGGAAAATAGTCTTTAACCTGTTGAGAAATTTCAACTTCGTCATAAATTAATAGTTGACTTAATTTAGCACAGTTAACTCGCATTACTTCTCTTGTGAAATTATGTGTAGCTTTTCTTAACGGACGATAATCGATGCTAAGAAATATGTTATTTGGTAAACAAGTTTTCCTATGATCTAGAAATAGTTCGACATAATCTTTATGAACAGTAGTAAGTTCTAGTTCAGTAAGATGACGATATTCAATGATTGAAAATTTTTCATTGACATTCTTCAATTTTATATGTTGTTTGCGTTTTGGTCGTTTCAGATTAGATAACGATAATTTTTTCATTAATGGAAATGATTTTGCAATTCGAAGGAAAAATTCATGCTCAAAAGGATTTTCATCAAATAATGATATTTGACGAACACATTTAAATAATCCACCTGGAAAATTATTTGTAATATTATAATAACGTTTCATTGTGTATGGATATGAATAAATATGACATTGACCAGTTTTTTCTTTTAAAAAATAATCAACACAAGAAATAACTTCATTGTAGATAAAATTTGTAAATGTGCGTTGAATTTCTTCATTTGATAATAAATGAATTTTATTTTGAAGCGAAATGATCGATTGAATATTGAATACAAATTTATTTAATTGAGGTAGACGATTGATAATATCCTTCTTCAAATTATTTCCATCAATAAATGTTCTATAACGATCAATTGTCATGTACAAAGCCAGTTTCTTTAAATTAATCATTCGATACAGAAATGGTAAAATCAATTCATCATAAAAACATATGCGCGTCTTACACGCCAGTGAAAAACATGTCAGATTAGGCAATTCTTCCTATGAAAATAAAGCGACACATTGGATAGATTTTTTTTTCAATTTAATGTTTGTAATGACATAAACATTTGAATAATAATTATTTTATTCTTTCAAAAGAACTTACTTTATTATTGATAATTAGTAATGACGGTATAACTCTAGAAATGGTCACACAAAACGTTGTAAGTTGATTGAAACGACCATCGAGCAAATACAGACAATCGGTGAATGAACAAACGTTGATATGCAGTTCGATTAGAGTTGAAGAAAAAAATGTTGGAATTTTATTGTTGAATGATAATCGTTGAACATAGATATCTGAAGGTGAATATAATTTCAAATAACGAAGATTGACGAACATATTGAAGACTTGTGTAAACGTATTTGTTATTTCATCTTCAGGCAAATTTTTTTTCTTATAATCACCAATTGTAATAATCAATCTTGATATTTGATTTTTGAATATATAAGTTAAATGATCTTCACCTAAACATACACACAAAATTATTGATAGAAAATTTCAATATGTTTCTGGTTAATTGAATTGTTGATATTCCATTTTTCATTTTCTTTCTTTATTTAATCAGTGTTCTGTTATATCAAAGTATTTCTTCTTCACCATTGTATCAGTATTCATTGTACATGATTGATAAGTAGTAACCAATGTGAGTGTCATGACTCGCAGGTACTAAAATAGTAAGATACCTTGTTTCTATGTTGACTGCATTGGTTTTTCCAAAACACAAATAAATTCACAGTTTTTCTTATAGCTTATTGCGATAATTTATTCGTTTTTTTTTTGAATTAAAACAACTAGATGTAAATGTTATAGGAGAAAATTTAAATTTTCTTGAATTCTAATTTCTCCTATGACAGAAAAAAACATCACAACAAGCACAAAACATAATGATAGTGCATATTTTATGACAAATACAGTTAAATGAAAGTACATGTATGTTACTATTTCATTATACTGAATCAAATAAATTAAATCCTTAGTTTTCTTTTTCTCAATTAAGAATCTCATCTTTTTTATTTGTTTTTACCTTTACCTAACTTTTGTCAGAATGAAATCTTGTACAAGTATGCGGTGCGATGTCATATATTATAGAAATACTATTTACAATAATCAAGTTAAGAAACTGTATCATATGTTTTTCAGTAGAAATAAAATGAACAAAAAATAATTGACATTCATAACGAGAATAAGAGAATCAAGATAAGGATACAAGATTAACAACATAATCAATATAAACAGATGATTATGAGAAAAAATAAATCTTCTCTTTACTACGGGTTCGTCTTTGAGTGAATGTCAAACCAGCTGAATCAAATCATTTTTCTATCGAAGCATTGGGAGACGTTATGGCATCTACGATTCTGGCTATTATTAAAAATAATGGAAAAATCATCGCGAATTTCATGATTAGATGAGAACTACACTATATTCCATATAATTGGGTGATTTGGGTGCACTGCAGGACCTGCAACCTGTGATAAACTAAAAAGAATGACCATGACTCACGGTTACAACCGTCATGAGTTGTGACTGTGAACAAAAAATTTAGTTATACCTAGCTCTATTGATGACTAATTGTGCCTTTATATATATGTTTTACCTTTGAAAACCATCCGAATGCATCAGAGGGAAAACAAGACGTTTTTTGTTGTTTTTTTCTAGTTGAAAGGCTATTTATTGTCACATCGTATGTTAACTCAATTTCAATATGCTCGTGTTTCTTTCTCTTAGTTTGTAAACGTAAGCTCTGTTAGTTATTTTATTCTCCTTCATATTCATATACAAAATATGAATAAATGGTTTGAATAAAACCTATAAAGATCCAGGTATTCATATTGATAATTAGATAAAGCAATTATGTTTCTTTATATATTCATGATTTAAATTAGATTACGACAACTGAATTTGAATTTCTTACCATTAAAGAAATATTGAATTATCTCTTCTTCAATATTGTAAATACTAAGTCCATATAAATTTGGATATTCGCCAGCAAGGAGAATGCGTTTCATAGATAATGGTTCAACGTCAAGCCATTTGACATGATGATGAATTTGAGGCAATATTTGTTGACAAAATCGATCAAGTGTTGTATCAGATAGTGGATAGAAAAATTTATTAAATGACCATTTTACAAATGTTAAACGATCAGTAAAAGTTTGATCACGTATAATTTCATTGAGTCGCATATTAGCACCCATCAAAGAATGAAGTACTTGCATATTATTTAATTTCTTAAATATCATTATAAGCAACTCATCCGGTAAATCTGTTAGTTGAACACATGAATGTTGCATATTCATATTCCGCTATGAACTACGCTCAGCTGATGTAGATAATCAATTATATAGGTATGCGTTTGTTCTACTGTAACCGCCGACGTCAATGAAAACAATGCTGCATTTTTCTGTGTTATAAATCGTCCGGGAACAAATGAGCAAACAATCCTATGTATCTTATACCAACCTAAATATTCTCATTCGAAGAATAATAATAAAACCCATTTAGTGATGATATAATGAAGAGATAAGCATCCGAACTATCAACAGGTTACTGTTATTTTCAACCTATAGGACAAATCATGTCGATTGATGTTTCAGATTTTATAAATCCGCTAAGTTCTATAGCATTGTGATTATGTATCATTCTGGTTTTAGTTATATACTTCATTTATTTTCATGAAGATCCTATAATGAAAAATTCCTGTACGAAATAATTAACTAAAACAAAGAGAGAAATCATCAAAAAACACTTTTTATGCAAACTACATCAGATTTATCAAAATGATTTTGAATATATCAGCACTGTTTCATATGACAACGTATGATCAGACATACAACGAAGAAGTAGAAGCAAATGGGAAGGGATGATCCACATCAATATAAAATTATGAGCTTATGAAGCTATCTTACGATTCGAGTTACGCCAGCGAAAATAATATAATATCATTTACAGGTCAATAACTTTGTCCCGGCTTGTTAGCCCGTTTCAATACTAAGTAGACGGTTCCGGCTAGGATATTAATTTTCAAATTAAGCCTGACGTGACGGATGGTATGCCAGGCTGATTACTCTCAGGAGTATGATCAGAATGTCGTCTATATCATGATGACAATCATTATTCTCTGATAATTAAATACAAGTTTATTTAGTATCATTTATCTATTGAAACAGGTCATATAAGGTAGTTTTGTGTCTCATTTAAATATTCGCGAAGTCACCACAAATAATAAAAACAATAAGATACGAAATAAATGGGTTATATGGGATAAATTAACGATGAATGAATTCAATATCTTGTAAATCAGCATAAAGTCTAAGTGATATTTACATTATGATGATATCATAATATTAACAAAGCAAGGTTTCTCACTCAACAAAAAAATACATTTATGGAGATAATAAGCATGTTGAAAAATATAGAATAATGTTTTATACATTTTGTGATGACTGAAACTAAAGAAATATTGTTCAAGTAATTATATATAAACAGAAAAAAAGTAGTTAAAAATATTTTATTGAAATTGATGGATACATAACATGATTAATAAATCAGTTTAAATATAGAAACAAGAAAATATTGATAGTTTTTTGCAACAATTAAAGCTTTTATCACGATTTCTACTGGATTAAAATGTGAAACAAGATATGGCTACTATTGCTAATCATAGAAGAATTGCTAGTTGAGTTATCTACACACACCAATTTTTGGATCAAAATTTGAAAATACGAGTTGTCTCAAAACCTGGTGTCTCGTGAAAAGAATTCGATAGTTTAGTAAAATCTGAGCAGCAATCGAAGTCTTTGCATGGTTTTTATTAGAACAGTGCAGTATCTATAAGTAAAAAAGAATTAAAATTAGAAAAGAACAGCTGAAGAAGTTTCTTCATAAGCAAGATTATTTTAGGTGTTTTTCTTTGCTATTTTTTAAATCCTTTCATTTATGAAAAAGAATTATTCGATTGAAGCGAATAAAAACTACTCATCGATGTCGTTAAAGATATAATGACAAGTAAAGACTATAGAAGGATATTTTAGAAATATTAGTTTTTTGTAATCTTTTATTATGTTATATTTAGCTACGTGTCACGTTTCTTTTTCCTATAGATATGAAAGAACTATCTCGGCATTAGAAGAAATTATCATTATTTACTCCGGAAATGAAACAAAATAACCTACGCATAAAAAGTCTTTGCACAACATTCCTGCTCAATTTCCATTTAATTTATAAGTCATTGAAGTGAATTAAAAATTAATCGACTATATAATGAGAGGTTTTTAGTCTTTCTAATTATAAATAAATATATGCAGAATTTTCTTCTGGCTCAAGACAACCTTGAATGAAGGTAAAAATCAATGTTTGTACAAAACTATTCATGTCACGTATTTCGATTAAAACTACCTTCGTCCAAAAGCCGAATATAAGCCTATTCGTTCATCTTTTGACAATAAAGCGACTTTTTTAAACTGTTATTTTACACGTAAAGACTTTTGGTTCGAATTCTTGATAATAACAAAAAAGTCAAAACCGCTCACAAAATATCATGCAGACAAGTTATACATGACAGAAAAGAAAAGTCAGTTTTGTTTAGAGCAAACAACAATATTTCCTTTATACCTATATTAACTTGCAGCTAATTCGCGGTGAGTTAGAGAAAAATTCTGAATATACATTTATAACGACGATGGCATTCTCTTTAACTATAATACGATCACTTTGAGGATTATTACTAATCATCAATGTGGTTCTTGGTCCGCTAGGAAAGTATTTCCGATAAGTTAGGACAAGAATTTTATACTCTTTTCGAATATATGGACTTGAAATTTTTGTCTCAGTTTTTGTTCGAGAGTAGTGAAATAATCTTGAAAAAGTCCAAAAAGATTAATTTGGACGGAATTTTTTTTTTATTTTCACTATTACGATTCAAAACGAAAAGTTGGAACCTTTATTTCTATATTAGCTTGAAGATCAGAAGCTACCCTATAAAATGCACTATTTGTAGTTATATTTTGTCTTTAAACGAAGTATCTGAATTTTCATTTCATTCGGACAAAATCTACAGCTTATTTCAATAGCAAGTATTGTTGAGAAATATCCGATTTACAAAATAGCCGATACCGACAATTTTTATTATGTTTTAAAAGAGGCGAAAATCGTAAGTTCATATTTCAAAAAAACACATCTAAATTCATAGATTTTAATTCGTCGGAAATAGTTTATCAAATGTTATATAAAGACTTGATTACAAAAAGAAAAAAACAGAAAAGGATTTTGCTTGAATTATATTTATCCAGTCTTTTTCATTGAATTTGAAATCATGCATCTCTATTCAAACATACATATATACTTTAACTAATTTACATACGAAGAAAAATTGCATATGATTGACTGATTTTATCAGTGTACTTTACTAAATGTCCTCAATGCATACTTAGAATGAGATGCTTTGATTAACTGTTATGAATACATAATATAGTCATGAATTTCACTAAGGTTCGAGCGAATCTCAAAGCATTCATATGCATTTCTGAATTGTCTATTCAAATGAATAATAGTTAGACATAATTGGCAGATACTATCATTTTATTCTACTAGTTTTCACTAGAGCATATCTCGAAAGTGAATAGTTTTATTGAATATTATGTATTTACAACAGTATGATAAAACTTCTGGATTCCAGATAGCCGCCATGTCAGACTGTACGACATATAAGCAAACAAAACTTGAACAGGCATGTGGTGAAAAGAATTTTTCATTCATAAATTGATGGTATAAACACAAGTATAAAGTTCATCACAATATATACATTTCTTTATATATATATCGGAATATTTTTGGTATTATTGACATAATCTTCTTCATTTTTAATCAATATTATGTCTTTGTATGTATTTATACGATGATAATTTTCATTTTCATTGACTAAATTATTGATTATTCAATAAAAATAGAGTATTAACATTATCATGCAATGCATATTGAAGAATTTTATATGAATAATATTAAGCATTAAAGAAAAGACGAAAACCCTAGATATAACAGAATAGAATACTACTTGCTTACATTAATAGAATATCCGGATATTATCAATCATTGACATCTCATTTAACCTATTCAGATTTTTATATCTATAAATAAGTGATGACGTCAAGCGATTTTATAAAACATAGTCTTCAAGCTATAATTTAGTTTCAATAGGACAAACAATTCAAGTTTTCAACATTGGTTAAAATCTAAAACTTTTGTTATTGTTTTTGATCGTTAGATTTATTTATCCGTTATTGGACAAAGCTTTATATCATAGACATTGTCCGAAAATCGATTTTAATTTTGTTTTTCATCAACTTTTGTTATTATTGAATTTCATGTTATTGTTATTATATGACTTATGCCTTCATCTAAATGTTTGTGTCGTTATGACATATAATTTTTTCAAAATTTTAGATATTTTTTTAATTTTAAATTCAGTTAATTATGAAAAAAAAAGTCTTAACATTCTCAATAAAGTCAAATATCTATATATTGACATGCATCCAAGCTCGTTGACCTAAAAGAAAAATTTTTTTCTTTTTATTTTCTTACATAGTATTAGCTGCTTTTTTTTATACGAGTAGAATAATGTTTGCATTTGACAAGGATGATCTAATTAATTACTGAATAGAGCACAAGATTGAAAGTAAAACATTTAAAACACTTATCCAAACTCAAACTAACGAGTTTAAATTGTTTTTTTTTTATTAATACCGGTATTGCAGAATTTGCTAGTCTCAGATTCATATCGAAAAAATATTTTATGGATTCATATTTCATTAAATATGTTGCTTCTTTATATCTAAGTAAAAAAAGAAAAGCCAATCTACTTAGTGTGAAACTAATTATATCTATGATAATGAGATTTTAAAACCCTCGATGTGTACTTACAGATTATCAGTTATAGCGCAGTTGAAAGATTTCTTTTTTTTTTGTAAATCAAGATTCTATATGTTTTCGCCAATAGAAATACTTGAGAAAAAAGTTTTTTTCTAAAGCTCTACAATGAATATTTTCTTAGCTCCTAAATATGTATGACCCAAGATTAGATGTTTGATTACAAAAAGTAGATGTATGCATAAGTTGACAGAATAGTCACGAATGCTACTTGAAGTAGTTGAGTATGTTTCAAAAAGACTCCGATAAGATTTTTTAACTTCAATAAAAATATCTTTTATAAAGTGCAAAATATCTATTGACAAGTGGAAGCCTGTTCATTGAAATCTATTTGAAGATATATTAGTAAATGATAAGTTTTGTTGTAAAAAAGAATGACACTGAAATTGATTTATTAATATTTATTATTTCAAAACTATATGCACTGAAACTGAGTCATGCAATTCATTGAACATATGGTAATTTAAGTAATATTTTTCAATATACTTATCATACATTTTCAAAATTAGAACCTTGAAGTTTAGTTATGAGAATTGTTCAAGTAACACAAAAATACGTGAGATATATCTTTAAAATGGATTATTCTGTATATTTAAATGCAATTTTTACTTTCAAAATTTAATAATGAAAATGAAAATGATCATATTAATATTGAATTAAAGCTTTCATTAAATATAGAATATGACTATTTAATGATTGATGCATGTCTGTCAGTTCTTCATAACTTTATTTATTTCAATGATAAAAATTTTAGACAAAATAACATCAAAATAATGAAGATCGGAAAAACTGATTAATACTATACATGAATATCTGTGTGACATTAACCCAAATCTTTTACGTCATTATGTTTAATTATTACTTTCAAACATGTATATAAACCGGATGTAACAAAGATTTTGTGTTATTTTCTGTTTTAAAAATATCCAAGCCGAGAAATAATAGGATGATGTCAGATCTCCTGTCAGAAGATGCCGCAGCATTTTATTCTCTAGAAAATGCTATTGATCTTAGTTTTAAAAAAAAAACCAGAAAAGAAACTTTTTATAGATTGCATCTATGACTCTATAAATGGTAGTTACTTCTCACGTATTTCTTTAATGATATCTTACTTCCATGGAAACAAATATTTAATTTAAAAAAATAATAATCTTGTGTTAAATAGCCCTTGAAAACTTTGTCGATTGTGTATATTTATGAAGTATGTGTTAATACACATCATTTTATGTAAATTACATGTTATATTTTGCTAGCAATGAAGGTTTCCTTCATGGATTACAAATTTTCAGAAAATAATCTTTAAAATGTTTATTTTTCTGAAGTTTTGTTTCGTTATTTACAACTCAAATAACATTTGGCAAAAGACTTCAGTCGAAACAAGCATTCGAATACTGTAAAGAAGACCATTTTTGTTCAATTAGCTCACATAATTTATTGTTCTGTGAATAAATATAGACTATGATCAAACAGTGACACACTCTACTAAAAGAAGATTTCGGAGAGTTTCTATAATTACAAACACTAAGTTTTTTTTGCGCACGTTTTTTTCAAAAGAAAACGTATGAAAAGTACCTTTCATTCAGTAAATCCCACAATGCAATCTATGAAAAGTTTCTTTTGCGTTGTTTTAAATAACAATCAATAGAACATTCTAGAGAATCAAATGCTGCATCATCTTACAGAAAGCTTGGGATAATCTATTATTTATTCACTTGAATATTTTTAAACGAGAAACTGTCATAAAATTTTTGATACATTCGATATTATCGATATTTTTGCTAAATATATAAATATTAAACGTCAATCATTAGTTAATTATCCAATAAATATTGATTTAACAATACCATATGAAACATTGTTTTTTAGCAGAACAAATTCTTTTCAAACATTTGCTTGTATTACATAAATAATGAATAGTCAAGAGCTTTTTTTTTCAACATGATTATATTTATTGGCAAATTGTGACTGATTCTCAAATGACAAGTATAAAAAAAATAGAGGAAAACAAAATGTTCAAACCCTGGATGAATTCATTAGGTCTTCTTTTGTATTCTTGCATTGTTTTTTCTCTTTTCTTTTTGTTTCCCAGAAAAAAAAATATGTCAAAAAGCTTCGATGCTCCCTCTATATCATGTTGTCAGCTAATTACAATCGTGATATAAAGAAATGAGAGTAAAAGCATTTCTCTTTTCTAACTACATATGAGAATATTAAAAAAAAGAAAGAAAAACAAAAAAAGACCGACCACCCACCTATTGCTATCTACGTTCTGTTAGAATGTGATTATACACTGAGAGTAGATTGGGTCTTTCACTCGCTATTTAGTAGTTTTCCTGACATATAATAGAAAACGATAAAATATTCAAGAAAAAAAATTCCCTCGCTTACTGCATACATTGATTAAACCGACAATGTTGAATGCAACATAGAGAAAAGAAAGTGTTCCTACATTTTACAATGCTTGACTTTGACGATGACAAAAGAACTGATGGAAAGTTTTTTTCTAGGCTCTTCCTGTTATATATATATATATATATATATATTCTTTTATTTATGGTTTCTTTTCCACATAGTTTAGAAATAATAATCGTAACAAAAAAAAACTTTTTTTTTAGATGACTTCTAAAATAGCTTTAGTCGTATTTGGTTTACTCTTAGTAACCATAGTCAACATTGTTCAATCTGTGCCTGTCAAATCAATCAAAGAACGTAAGATATTCTTTTAATTGTTATCATTAAAAATTTTTCTTCTTTGTTTTTTATTTCTTTAGTTCTTCAATTACCTAAAAAGACTGTAGAAGAATCCGCTGATCAAACAGAACCATCAACAACTTCTACTAGTCCTACAACTACCGCTTCTCTAGATACACCCACAATACAACATGAAACCAATGATATTAAGAAAAAACGTTATATTGATAATTATGATCGATTCGATGATTTTATAGATGATGAAAGTAGTAATGAAGATAATGACAACAATGTTGAAAATATAATACATACAAGAATTAATGAATATCCAACTAAAATTTATGGTAATCCAGATAGTAAGTTAATAAATTAAAAAGTATCCTTTTATTTTATTTTTATTTTTTTCGTAGAATCAGTTGATACAGACAATACAAATGTATTTACCGATATTAACATGGATCCACGTGAATTTAAAAATCTTGCACGAAAACGTCGTAATATTAAATTAAATCCAGAATCTAAACAAAGACATAAACGAGCTTCATCAATATATGATTTTTATAATAATGATCCGGTAATAATGACTAAAATATTTTGTTTTATTTTATTGTTTTCGATGACTTCCTAAATAATAAACACCTCAGTTTATTTTTCATCTGTTATTATTCATGACAAAGTTGTGTATAGATTACTGCTAGCTATTTTTTGACATTTATCTAACAATAGTACTTGTTTAAAGGGCATATCGGAGAATATATTAAATTTAAAGTACATTACAGAGAACCATTGACATTGAATTTCGACGAAAGAATAAAAAAGAATTATAAATCGTAACATTTCATTTGCGTAATTCTTATTATCATTTTAGTTATATGAATCATTAATTGAACGTCAACAATTTATCCGTCCAAATCAAGCTTTAGCGTAAAAATTTATTTAATCATTTATTTATCTTAATTGTTTATTTATATTTCTTAGTCCTCTCTATTTGTACTCGCCAACATATGAACGAAATATTCGTTCAGTTCGTGTACCATATTTTTATGATTCACCTGAATGGAATAAAATCTTTGCGAATACCATTGAAAATGATGATGATCAAAGTAAAAAGAAAAAAAATTTATTTGTTAAATTATTTCATTAAAATTATTTATTTAGTTCCATTTGCTATGAATGATGATGAAGATGATGATGATAATGATGATGACTATGAATTTAATCGTTATCCACTTTTCTTAGAATCATCTAATATGCCATACGATAATTTACAATTACAACAACAATATAATATTGACAATATTCCAATATATGAAGATGATGATCAAGATGATGAAAATTTTTTGGTAAGATTTATTTATATTTAATGTATTCAATTCATTTGTTTTTATTTTTGTTCTAGATGCCTTATAGACCAATTGAAAGTTATTTAAAATAACAAATATCTAGGCATACAAGCGTTGTTGTCAAAAAAAAATGAAACAGAAATAAAGAAAACAAAAATATATACTTTGTTTAACTTAAGATATATGTATTTTGATCATAGGACACATAAAAAAAAGACATACTTTTTTCGTTGTCTATTACTTCCTTTCGTTTTCTTTTTCAATTTCTCTCGCCATGCATATAACATGGATATTAATCATTATTCATACTCACGCATAGTTAGGGCAAGGTTTAGAAACCTTCCTTTTTTTCCTACGAAGGTAAATACTGTGCACCTTTTTTTTTCTATTCTGAAGTGACAAATCAGTTATTTGAAGTATCATGAATGTGACGGGTGATATGCCATGTGATATTTGCAAGATAAGTTATGGTTTCAGTTCAGCTGATCGACGTGCAATTATTGTAATGGTTGTTCTAACAGCTATTGCTCTTGTATTATGTTATGTAGGTGTTTTATGGTTTGCTATTCGTACACGTTTTAAATTGTCGAAAAATTCAAATATTATCGATAATAATGTGAATAGAAATGAGGCATTTAATCATGAAGAGGAGCACGATGATGACTATGTACAGTCTATGGAAAATATAAGAAATTTATCACCAATACCAACACCAACACCAACGACAACAACAAAACATGTTCATTTTGAACAAAAAAAAGAGTTACATTGAAAATTTTGTTTGTTAAAATAAAATGATTCAGAAAACTATTCTCAGTTTCCTTTATTTACTTCGTCAATTCAGTTTTATTATTAATTATGAATAACTTGTATTGTATTTAATAGGATTGGTATTGACGACTCTTTCGTTCGTAATATGTTTTTTTTTTCAGATTGTATGCTTGATAACAAGTACATTCACCCCACGAATATGTAAAGCATAGGTCATACATTTTTGAATAAGTTTGTCATAGTTGAGTTATGTTCGATTAAATAATGGAAAAAAATTGCAGCAGTTCGATCTCGATACTTGTATCTTTCGTTTCAAGTGTTTTTTCTGACTCTCGGTTCTCGAAATCATCACGACTCAAAATGACGACTTGTGATGGATATTCGAGACTGTTATGATATAAACATTTAGAAATTCTTATAAAATATTAAAATAATGGTCATATTTTTCATTTATAATAATAAAATATAGTTTTCTGCAACCTTTTAAAATTCATTCTTGATGATTTACTTTTGTTTACATAAAAACTTGACCTATTCTATAAAGCAAGTCACTTTTCACATAAGAATTAATAAATTTTTTATTAAAATATGTTTGAAAATGTTTCTTATCTCTATGTGCTTTGATTAATCAAATACTCGAAAATAGTTTTTGAGAAATAGAATTTTTTTATGAAAACTTGCTAAGATTTGTCATTTGTATAATAAAAATGTTTGAAAATTATCTACTATAGTTAAACGTTAATTGAATTTATATTTGCAAATGAGAAGTAGATCATAGATATATATTATGAAATTTATCCCAACAAATTTGACTCGAAATAATTATTATTATAATAAAGATTTTTTTGCATTTTAAAATAACAATTTTGACTATGATTGAATTATGTTTTTTTGATAAATATAGAACGGGCAATTGAATTATAGGAAAAAATTATTGAATTTTCTGATATATAAATGAAAAATGATAGTTTTTGAAAGTAAGAATCATTTATTAAAATAATAAATAAATAATAATTATATAAAATGATTTAAAAATATCTTCATCCTATATATATAAAATAATATTTAAACGATCTCACTAGTCATCGATTTAAATCAAAACTAATATATCTGTATTCGAACATATATTTAATATTTTCATTGAAATATTATTTTTAATTTCGAAAAAATTCTAAGAGAAAATCTATGTGAAAGAAAAAAAATCGATTCTGTTTTAAGAAGATCATTTGAAACGAACCAATAGAAATCTTCCTTTAGTTTTCTTTGTTAAAAATACTTTCATTTATCATATATTAAATGATTCAGTAATTATTCGTCATCATTATTTTTTTTTTCTAAATTTAATTCAAACAAGACATGAACTTAATTGAATAATACTGTTTTTATTTATTAAATATACGAAAAACGATATTAAATTTTGGTGAATACTTTATCTTTCTTTTCTTTAAAATATTTAAGAATATTATGGAAGCATTTTCTATTTCAATTTGAACAATATCAAATAACAAATATTGTCAAACATGAATAAATGAACGTTTAACTTTTAAAATAAAAAAAATGTCTCGTTAAAAAGAAAGAGCAACGAATATAAATCATGATAGTATATATATATATATATCGTGGTTATTTTGTTTTCGATTTGTTAATTAAAATAATATGTTTAATATTAGAGGTTTCTATTTAGTGTCTGGCAAGCTAATCTTTGTTGCTTTGACTAATATTATCAATTGAATTAAAAAAAGAACGAACATTATTGATGATTTTCTTGTGTTTTTTTTCGTAGATGAGGACTTCAATGAACTAAGTCAAACAAATACTTATTCATTCGTCGATTGAATCGATTTGTGAAAAAACACGAACGAAAGACAAAAAACAAATCTAAATATACACCAATATAAATATGATTGAATTGTCGTTAGAATAATATGTCAATGAACGAACACAGGCATCTATGTTATTGAAAAAGAAATTACAAATAAACACAATTTCAAGTGTATTTTTCAATAAATTTTCATTTATCTGATTTATTAATGTAAGTTTTTTTGATTTAAATCAATGTCAATCATTGTTTTTTATTATTTTAGAACAAAAAGAAAGCAAAATATCAAATAATGACGATGAATCAGTTGAAATGTTATATTCAAAATTATGTGCTGATTTAAATATGGATATGGAAACAAACTTAGATGCATGGCGTTCATATGAACATATTCATAATTATTATGTGTTAGAAGGCGATCAATTACATTGGTTAGCTGCATCATTATATGTATCATGTAGACAATATCCTCATATAACAACATATGATAATAATCCAATATAAATATTACGTTTATTAAAAAGTGGTAATCATTTAGAATTGTTTTTTTTTTCTTTTGATAAATTAGATAAATAGGAAGATATGACCAATTTACTTGATTCAATTCGATCAAAAATGGATCAAGTTGAACATGCATTTAATATATCATCAATTATACTTGGAAAATATAGAAAAATATTATTGATATATTATTTGGAAATCAATATAAATTAAGTTATTGCGATTATTAATATAAAAGAACATCAAATGAAATAAATCCTAAATGGAATATAAAAAATAAATTAGATAAATGTTCACATCAAGATTTATATTCATTTATTTGGACAATATATATGTATTAACCAGAACAGTTTATCCATCAACTATAAATGATCTTATTGCTTCATTTCATTTGTTTATTCCTTCTTTTGTTTTATTCATGATTATGCTAAATTAGCGAAATTAGATTATTTAGTTAAAGATAAACATTTATTATAACAACGTTTTTATTTATATTCATTATATGTATATGTCATTTTAATCGACATTGTTTTGTCTCAGTTAACGATTAAGTATCATATGTACTTTTTTTTTCAATTTATTTGTTTCTCACTTCTTATCAAATTAAGATTTCACAAGAGTTTTTTTTTTAAATTTTATTTAAACTTAAAAAGTTTTATGTTTCTATATGAAACATACTTTATTTTAAAATACTTGTTAAAATTCTTTAATATAAAAATCGATTTTATTTAATATATTTAGATCATTTTTATTCCAAAAAAAACATTTGAGATAAATATGAGACATTCAATTTTATTTGCTCGATATAGATTTAAATTAAATTATATGTTTTATTTAGAGTTTTATAAATCTATTATTAAATAAAAACCGTTTCAAATGTTTATTTTCGAATATGTTTCGATCGTTTAGGAAAATTAAAAAAAAATTGGTTTTCTTAATATTATTATTAATGGATGAAAATGTAAATAATCGATATATGATTAACGATTATTTAAAATATTGATTGACAATTCAGTCGTTGTTAATTCAAATCGTTTAAATGATTAATAGTCATAACTGTGAATAATCGATTTATCATCATTTGTAAGTGATGTAATTAAGAGTAGGATTTGCAACTAATGATTATATTCATATTTAAATATGTTCTCGATATATGCATTTAAAAATATATTAAATCTGATTATAATTATCATGAATAATAATCAATGTTTGATAGATAAGTTATTTAAATATTAAGTTTATTTAGTTAGAAATAGATCTCTATAATAAACGACTTATTTTAATTTATTAGATAGAATTAAATAAAGATATTCATATTCGACTTTAAATATCATCATATTAACGGAGTTGTTCAACTTCTTCTTTTTTTTCTTAAATAAAGTATGAAAACAATTCGTTGAAACGATGAAAGATTAGCTTAAGATTTTCATAAGTCGAATATGTATTGTTCGAGTTGGTTATTATGTTATAAATCGATACTTGTTTCGTAAACATAATATTGAAAGGTTCTCTGGAATTTCGCCAATAAGAATTTCGCCAACGGAATTTCGCCAATGTCGATCTTCCAGTGGAATTTCAAACTTCGAAATTCCACTGAAAATCGACAATACTGCCGAATTTCCCATTATTGTCGAAATTCCTTAGGAATTCTGACAATAATTATTATTAATGTACTTTTTTATTGTCGATTTTCCATCGGAAATACGACAAAATATATATCGATTGAAGCTACAATGTATTGGAAAAATATAATTTTCTTGATCATAAAGTTAACAAAAAGGAAATAAGTATTTGTATTAACCAGATGTTATATATTAAATTAATTATAAGTTTATTTATTTTTTAATCAGTATAAGCGACAAACGAGAAAAACAAAATAGATATAGATAAACAATGTACCAGAAAATAATTATTACAAGTAAATGAACAACAACAAGTGGAGAAAAAAAATTAATCAAAATCCACATTTGTGAAAGAAAACAACATCAACGAATTGGTCAAAGAAAATCCTAATAAATAGTAAAAAAAAACAATTTGAACTAAATGTTATCATCATCAATACGACTATCATCAATAGTAGCATGATGAATATCATTATTGTTTTTTTTCTTTTTTTTTGCTGCTTCACCAACAAATGTCGATAAATTTGTTATATATCGATTTAAACTTATTGAACCAAGTTGAAATAACCGGGATAAATTTTTAAGTTGTTTTGTTTTTTTTCTTAAACGTTCATTGTTAGCCGAGAATGGCATTGTTTTATAACGATAAATACCATTTCTTATCTGTGTTGCTCGCATCATTACCAATGATTCTTCAGCCTTCAGGAAATGAATAAATGGCCATAGTTGTGGATGAATGCCAAAACGATATTTGAGTCGATTATTATAACCTAAAATTACAATAAAACATCATATAATATTTTGATTATAATTGCATCCTAAAAACATATTGTACCTTCTAGACTATTGTTGCATCGAATATGTATTGGACCTAAACTCCAATATCTCGGTGGTTTACGTGTAAACCATTGACGTTGAAAATATTCATAAAAATCAATTAATGATTTATCAGAAGATGGTACGTTTTTAATTAATAATTCAACAGCAGCATCAAGTATATCATTCTTTATTAATGGTAATGCCATGAAACTCTTCAACCATATGTTCACTTCTTTGTTT